CGGCCGGAGCCACGCTGTCAGTGATAACCTCCCTGGCTCGATGAGGCTTAACGGACTGCTTGTTGAGGTAAACGAGCTTGGGGAGCAAGCCGCAGGCCGCCTTCCGCAACTGATCCTCGCCGATATTGCTCTGTATCGGGTTCCCCAGGAGGTTGAGAGCGACTAGGGAATTGTAATTGGCGACGAGCTGTCCGATGGATTTGGCGGTGGTGATCTTGTTGAAGCTGAGGTCGAGGACTGTGAGTTTCAGGAGTCGGTGTAAGCCCTCGACGTTGCTGATCTTGTTCCCGGCCAGGTAGAGTTCTTTGATCAGAACGCAGTTTGATAAGCCTGGTTATTCACAGAGAGAGAGAGAGAGACCGGTCCTAAATCTTAAGAGATTCAATCATATAGTGCTCGACCAAAAAAAACTCAAATTTCAGATACCCGATACGACTTGAAAATCTTAGATACCCGATATGTAGATGTAGATGTGTTTACCTTGTCCAATGCGAGAGATGCGATTGTAACTGAGATCGAGAACCCGAAGCCGCGACAAATCTCTAAGACCTTCGATGACAGTGATCTTGTTCTTCGAAAGGTCCAACGCGTGCAGGCCCTTTGGCAGTGATCCCTGAGTTATTTGAACTGCAAATCCAACCATTACCAAATTGATGAACATCAAAGGATGAATGAAAAGACATCGACTTGTTTAAGTTGAGGAGGGAGGAGGGTTTTACCTATGAAGTTGTTGGATAAGTCTACCGACTTAAGGCTGTTGAAATGGCAGATGGTCGGAACAGCTTTCAACCCGATGCTCGAAATATGAGCCACGCTTGAGGATTTGTTCAGTGACTGGATAAGGCTATTCGCGTGAACAATTGCCTCATATATATTGCTGCTTCCGTTATGAGCCATTTGCCCTCCCGGGTTTGATCTCTCGGCCTCGAGAGAATTTGGGAAGTCAAAACCACCCGCTATGTCGCCGTCCTCAAAGGCGGGAACCGAGGTTTCGACATCGAGATCTCTCACCCATTCGTCTACTCTTTTGAAAGAAGATGATTCAGCAGAGAACGCTAGCCACTGGTTATGCGGCCACAAGCTTGAAGAAGCTTCTTGGCCTGGGGAACCAGTGAAATTGTTGGGAGAATCTTCGGTGAATGCTCCAGGGCTCGATTTCGCTGCCACCTGGTTGTGCTCGAGGATGTCGGATGCATAACCCGACTCTTGTTTCGCCTCGGAAACACGCAAAGGCTGAGACTTTGACGAATCCTGGCGTTTATGGAGGTTCCGGTGGCTCCATAGGAAGAGCTTCCACCATAATCGCTTGCTCCTCGAGGGAAGAATCTGCCTCGACGAGTATTTCTTCAGCATCACTCTATCTGCACTTCTCTGCGATAGCACTGATGTAGGACTCTCAGGAGCAATATCGAAGAACTCGGTAGCATCACGAGGAGAAACGTGATCGGGACGGGTGAGACGGCTCGTGATCTTACTCAAAACCTCTCGGGTTTCGAGGCTAGAGCACGAGCGTTTCAGCTTAGGAGAGGCCTCCATTGATGCGACTCTTCCCACGCCAGGGTCGCTTACGTGCCCGTCGTAGCCATGGCTGCCATCCGGAGCTTCTGAAACCTCCTTGACATTCTCCAAATTCGAGTCTTTAGAGCAGAAATCGCCGTTTGTGGATTGGGGGGCGCTGGCTTGGGGATGGAAATCGGAGAATTCCCGTTTCATGGAAGCGTTTTCGTCATCGCGTTCATCTTCGCCGTCGTAAGATGCAGGGCCGACCGGAGTGTGGTTTCCGAGAATGGCTTTGTCATGACCTGAGCTGTTGGGCTCGTCGTTCTCCAGGGGCTTGACCGGTTCTTCCAGTCTGAGCTGGCGGATTCTCTGCGATGATTTGTACTCTCCCGATCTTGGAGTTCTCCCATTCGCCTGTTTCAACCACATGTTTTTACGGTAATGCGATGAATTCACTGCAATATCATGAAGATTCGAGAATAAAAAACAATTGCCCACCTTGTTCTTCTTCCTCATCAATCCGGCGAAGCAGTTGAATTTCGCCATCACTTAGACAAACCCTCGAGCTCAGATTTCTTAATCGGCACAAGAATAGCTAAAAGTTTCGATCTTCTTTTTTTTCCCCCTGAATTCGACGCTGTTTCAATCACATCTCAGATGAATTCCGAATGGTAGGGTTCCTTGGGAACAGCAACGAAATTAACAAGAGAATCAGAAATTAGCCGTAGTCAATAGGGAGACGCCACGGAAGAAGGAAGATGCAATTCGAAGCTGAATGGTCGACGGAAAACGAGGAGGCAGTGCCTGATCCGGCCGCCGGAGATTCCACTGACGTGTCGGCCAGAGTTCCAGAAGTTTCGCCGGAGCAATTCTCTTCTGATCTTTCACCAAACCCAACAACTCCTCTTGTTTATAATACTGATTGATTAATTCAACAGCTCTGAGCAAACAAAAAATCGTAATCAGGACACCAACCTCCAGATTCCACTGCGGATATGTCTATCACCATTAACAAACAAAAAAAGAGCGAGCTTTATCAGTACCCAGAAAAAAAAAGGCCCTGTAAAATAAATCCTCGCTTTCCAGATCTTCGAATGGCAAAAAAATTTACTTTTTATGAGATCAATCGTATCCAATTATCAATCAGGCATATATAAAGATACAAGATCTGGAAATCTGCATACGAAGTACTGCAGGAGAATGTTTGTATACGTGTATTCGGATGCATAATCAATACGTACAGGTGTCGGAGCTCAAATCTTTGGTCTGAACTGTGAAACAAGACCAGCGAGGATGAACTTTTTTTTTTCGTGTTGTGTGGGGAAAAAATAAAGGAGAATAATGATGATGTACCTGGCAGATTACGGTCTTCTGTGCAGAGCATGCAGGAGAACCACATGTACTAAAATTATGGTGTAAGAGACAAGACGGCAGTGATGTTCGCTATAAGAGACCACCAGGTGTACGTATTCCATCCGTATATTTGCACACATACGTATATAGGAGTTGGTGTTTGCCTGCTCGAATAAGGTTAGAAATGCCAGAATAATATTGGGGCATACGCGCATGAAACACGGTGTCCATTATTTTAAATAATTATATCATAAACATATATCATCATAGAGTATTTCTTCCTAATGAGGTTGAAACCTATAACATACACACACACACATATATATATATATATATATGTAGTTATAAAACTAAGGCTAAAATCAGATACGGCCTGCCAATTTTAGTGCATACAGTTGGGAACTTTCTACTGAGACTTAAAAGATATTGCCATTGTAGCATGGAAATAGTATATTGTTATTTCTGTAGAATTTGAACCCAAAACTTACAGTAATTTATAAAAGGATAACACTATTTAAAGGTATTCTCTCCAGTTTTTTTTATTTATTTTAATTGAAAAGATGCGTTGATATTCAAAAACTAATTCTAGGTTGTTAATGTATACGAATAATATTTGTAAAAAATTTAGAATTAGCTCTAGGAATGCACGAAAGGAAGACACTTAAATTAAAATAAACCAATGTTTTTGGCATCGTGTGCGTGCGTTAGGGGTAAAAAAAAAAAAAAAAAGCAAAGACAAATTCCTTCTCATTGCGTCTTTTAACGGCAAGTAACGGCGTCCATCCCTTGGACCCGCTGCTTTTAAGCGCATCTAACCTCAAGTGGTCTCCACCAATCGTACGGTGGAGAATAATCCATCGAATAATAATTGATTAGAGAGAGAGAGAGATTTGCAAGATTGGTAAAATTTTTATTGTTGTCCCTTTATGGATTTAAATTCCCTCATGGGACATTGTTTACGACGACGTGGCGAATTCTTGTGGAAGCCTGGAGATTCTTTCAGACAAAGGTGAGGGTCCACTTTAGAAATCAACGGTCTCCAGCGGCGTTAATCCCAAATTATTAAAAAATCAAAGAATTTGTCTAAGGTTTAAACACTGTTCTTTTGTTTTATACTTTTATTTACATAATACTCCTCTATTTAATTTTAAGTGACGTTTTAGATTTAAATACACATATTAAAGAAAATAAAGTTTTGTTAAAATACCTTTATTTATTGTGTAGAGAATTATTATATTGAAATATTTAATTATTATTTATAAACTGTAAATTTAGAACAAATATATGGAAAATTTGAAAATATCATTTATTTTAAAACAAAAAATATTCCAAAATGTAAATAATAATGGAGAGAGTATTTTACTGCTTTGAAATTCGTATTTCAAAATATATGGAGCATTCTCGAAGATTCAGACGTATTTAACTTTTTCATTTCTCTCTCGAGTGTAGAATGTCAAATTTATTTTCAAATTTTAATTATTTTGTATATTTTCTTTCATTATGTTGAAAGAAACTATATTTTGAATGATTTTCATTAACAATATCATATTTGTTATATATATTGATAATATCGTTTAAGATTAAAATAAATCGCGATGATTTGAATAAACTTATGAGCTTCTTCGTACTTTTAAACAAAAATTTAAATATGATATTTTAAAAATATATGTTTTTAATAACAAAACAAATATTACAGTTAATACAACTCAATAATGGGTTTAAAATATTGAGTTTTTCTAAATACATATATTTTTATGACAAAAAAGAATATTGATCTTTATAGGCTCTAGGTATATATGGTACGTAGTAACGTAGAGACATTTTTTTTTTAAAACCATATTTCCTGTCTATTTGTTAGCAATAGAAAAATGAAATCTCGTACGCATGCATGGATGTCATGTGCCCACTAAACGGCCCTTGAAATTCTCTAAAGAAATCACCATTTTTAATTCATATGAATACGTAACACATATCCGGACGGGACAAACTCGAACTAATTCGATTTTTTTAATCCATACGTATCATTACATAGTTCAACTTGAGATGTCAAACTGAGTGGATGAGGGTTGCATTTGAAATGATCAAAATGAGTACATGAAATGAAATGAATGATACCGACAGGCCTTGGTGGGTTTGAACTCCTTTTCCGAAATCATGAGAACCATTGGTTCTGGGTCGATCGGCATATTTTTCTTACGTGTAACAAATCCGACCACAAACCCCTCCACAGATATTAGATTCTACAGACAACAGACAAAAGAAAAAAGAGACAGCTCCTGTCAGAGATAAGTACCACGGAAGATTGGGGGGAAAAAAGGACACAAAATGGCCGGTACAAGGATGAAGTTGCATTTCTATTGAATCACAGATCATCACACGTATATAAATGAACATTAGTGGCATACTAGGTGTCACACGACATCGTTTAGAGGGTACCTGACAGATTCATCATTCCCGTGGGATGGGAGACTGGATTATTAGTTCGGTTTCTATAAAAAGTTTGAATCCAAATAAAATATAATTAAATTTGATTTGGTTTAAGGTTAAGTCAGATTGAATATCAACTATATTCTTCAATTCTAGAAGAAGCATAGTTTTGGTTCTGCTTATTTCGAGTTCGGATCAAATGCAGAATTAATTATATTCAAGTTTGATTATGTTATAAAGTTTGGGTCATGTGGGTTTCTAGGTGAACGTTGAAATGGTCGTATTGGGCCATAATTGGGATTTTAGTTTTCTGCTTTACCCATCAACCATCGAAAAAGGATTTAATAAATCTCCAACACGACGTCGTTTTAGAGGCTGGCGGACCGGTATTATTCTTTTTTCTGAATGTACATGGAAGATCTAGAAGATTACCTTTTATTAATCTTCGAGATGGTCTTTTCCGTTAGTCACGTGTGGGAAAAATATTCTCCTTTCACAAAAGTACGTCTCTTATCTTTCTTTTTTTATCCAAAGAAAAATTTTACCGAATATATTGCAGGAAAAATAGCTACAAGTTGGATTTTCCGCAGTTAAAAAAGGATATAATATGATACCCATCCCTTGACACAAAAAAATAGACAGCGAGTTATGGCAATATCCTTGAGACAGGCTTGGTTATAAAGATCCTTTACCTAACACACCCGTCTCCCATTCCCTTTTGTTGTTGGCAATTAAATAAATATATCCGTAAAATCCAAGCATAATGCAATAACACGTCTCTGCCCTTTTACCAGCATACTTTTCTCGTATTTATTATCACGACGTACAACATTTTTCATGTGTCCGGTCATGTAAGTCAATATACGAACATGTATCTGTTTTCACATACGAATGGGTGTGTGTGTGTGTCCATTTCCTACAAGTAAACCCACTTTTCTCCCCACCAAAAAAAAGAACCACCGATCGAATATTCCGGTCGAATCTTTTCCGATTCTCCAAATGACAAGGTGCTTCAGCTTGTCTGTAGCCGTACACGGGCACTTCAGATCCGGATTCATCAAATCGGGGCTCCGGCCCGTTTCCACCGATCTCAACGACGGGACCATCGTCCATTGCTGGGTTCCCAAAACCCGACCCGACTCCAAGCCCAACCTCCTCCTCATCCACGGCCTCGGAGCCACCTCCGTCTGGCAATGGTCCGCCGTCGTCCGCCGCCTCTCCCCGCACTTCAACGTCTTCGTCCCCGACCTCCTCTTCTTCGGCGGGGCCTCCACGACCCGACCCGAACGCTCCGAGTCATTCCAGGCCCAATGCCTAATGGCCCTCATGGAGGCTCTCTCCGTCAAACGATTCAGCCTCGTCGGACTCAGCTACGGCGGGTTCGTCGGATACCGAATGGCGGCGATGAGCGGCGGAGCGGCGGTGGTGGAGAGGGTGGTGATATGCTGCGCCGCCGTGTGCATGGAGGAGAAGGATCTGAGGGATGGGGTGTTTAGGGTTTCGGATCTGGACGAAGCTTCGAGGATTCTGGTGCCGGAATCTGTCGGAAAGCTCCGAGAACTGATGGGTTACATCTTCTACAACCCGTCGCCGACCAGATTGATTCCGTCGTGTCTTCTGGAGGACTTCATCCAACACGTGAGCCAGTCTTTTTTTCACTTAGCCTTGTCTTATCCAATTAGAACTCGCCACGTGTTCTAAGCCATCTCTTTATTCCACCTTGTTTTCTGGCCCTGCTAAAAGAAAAAGATTTATATGCTGAAAATGACCCAAATGAGGCAGGCGTTGAGCAGAGAGAATGTGGAGGAGAAGAGGGAGCTAATCAAAGCCATACCAAGAGACAGAAAAATCTCAGAGATACCAAAGATCACTCAGGTTCTCCTCCACGACCCGACCCGAACGCTCCGAGTCATTCCAGGCCCAATGCCTAATGGCCCTCATGGAGGCTCTCTCCGTCAAACGATTCAGCCTCGTCGGACTCAGCTACGGCGGGTTCGTCGGATACCGAATGGCGGCGATGAGCGGCGGAGCGGCGGTGGTGGAGAGGGTGGTGATATGCTGCGCCGCCGTGTGCATGGAGGAGAAGGATCTGAGGGATGGGGTGTTTAGGGTTTCGGATCTGGACGAAGCTTCGAGGATTCTGGTGCCGGAATCTGTCGGAAAGCTCCGAGAACTGATGGGTTACATCTTCTACAACCCGTCGCCGACCAGATTGATTCCGTCGTGTCTTCTGGAGGACTTCATCCAACACGTGAGCCAGTCTTTTTTTCACTTAGCCTTGTCTTATCCAATTAGAACTCGCCACGTGTTCTAAGCCATCTCTTTATTCCACCTTGTTTTCTGGCCCTGCTAAAAGAAAAAGATTTATATGCTGAAAATGACCCAAATGAGGCAGGCGTTGAGCAGAGAGAATGTGGAGGAGAAGAGGGAGCTAATCAAAGCCATACCAAGAGACAGAAAAATCTCAGAGATACCAAAGATCACTCAGGTTCTTCTGATTTCCTTCATCTTTAAAATCACAAGTTTGATGGATGATTTCTGAAAAACATGAAAAAACCGCAGCCGACACTGATAATATGGGGAGAGAAGGACCAGGTGTTCCCGGTGGAGATGGGGAAGAGACTGGAGAAGCACGTCGGCCCAAACTGCAGGCTTGCTGTCATAAGAAGGACAGGACACATTTTCAACTTCGAGAAGCCCGGTTCCTTTTATAAACTCCTCAAATCATTCCTTCTCCATCCGCCACTAACCCCCAACTGACTATCCATCTCTATGATTATATATATATATATATATATGTGTGTGCAGTAAGCAAGATGTATCATGTTAGTTTTTTGCTCAGTACTTGAGATATTTATGATTTCACACATCCATTGATTCCCTTTTATTTTATTTTTCTTGACAATGTATTCCGATTGTAGTCGTTTTTGTTGGTGGCTTCCGCAAAAATAATATGGGTTTGCGAGAAATTATTGATCCGATGACGCTTGTATTCGCATCTTTATACAAAACAATTGATTCGTCGGCTTCCCATTCCTTGAAAAAATTCTATATGAATAATCCAGCCAGCCATGCTGTATATTATCTTTTCTACAAATTTTTTCTTTTTATGCATCCGAAATCCCTTTCGATCCGAATCGGATTTAACCAAAAATAAAAAGAACAACAATTAATTAAAGCCAAATACGAAAAATATCGAACGGAATCCAAACAAAACAGTGATCCCTACGGATCAAAAGAAGATGTACCCACGGAGAGAGGAACAAAAACAACAGAGACTAAATGAACTCTGAAGAAAGAGAAATCCAATCTCCAGAACAAAGCCCTCATCAATCGATCTCTCTCTTGGAGCTGAAAGGAGAGGAGAGGATATATTCAGGGTCTCTCTCCTCTGTAACCCTAATTTTCATCTTGTTTCGTTTGGGCCTAATCGGGCCATCTTTAGACGTTATTGGGCTATTTTTGAGCCTATTGTTGGGCCCAGTTGAGAATCTTCATGTATACATACACACGCTTTAATTTCAAACTAGAGTAGAGACATTTAAACAAAGATAACAAACGACAAAACGAAAACTTGGAATGAGTACCAAATCCGGAAGAACATTCGAACTCCCCTCCTAATAGAATCTCTTTTTCAAACCAACCAATAGTATTACTATTAGTACCACACCCCCTCTCTTTCTTCTTTGCCGCCCTAAACCACACAATCTACATGGACCAAACCACCCTGACTTCTTCTTCTGATGCATTCCACCAATAGAAATACCCTTCTTTTACACCAGCCGTCATCTGAATCTAACGACGACACATGATATGTCGTCTTTACTCTCTCTTCTCAACGCCTCTGCAGTTAGCTCCTTCGCTCCCTTCTGTGGATCCTTCAACCTTCTCGCTATGTCCACCGCCTCCTGGTTCGACATCACCTGCGCTTCAAAAGGTTTCCAGTTATTTCAAACCGTATAATTTGGTAACACGTCGGACATGTAGATTGCATCACCTTCCACAGGCCGTCACTTGCCAGAACCAGGATGTCTGTGCTGCTGTCTAAAGTAACCTCCTTTATGTCAGGTTCTGAACTCAGATGTGTTTTGAGGCTCTTGTCTCCAAAGGCACGGGATACAGCCAATTGCCCGTTAACCCGAGGGACATCTCCTGTGAGAGAAGGCCGTGGAATAACAATCTCACCATTCTTGTGAATGTTTTATAAGCTTTGATCAAACGGGTAAAAACCAATGAGGTGGAAGATAGCACTGTACCCGGCAGGTTAGACACAAATCCGCCTCTATCCTCGATGCTCACCCTTTCAGTCCGGGGCTCGTGATCTGTACTCATCTGTATGGCTTCACTTCCTCGACAAAGAACTGCTCGTGAATCGCCAATGTTGGCTACCCACAGCTTTCTCCCATTTATCAATATTGCAGTCACGGCTGTTGACCCGCCTCGGCCCAAGTCAGAACCATGTGATAAAATCGCCTGGTCTGTCTTTTCGTAAGCTTTCGCAATAGACCTTCGAGGATCAACCCAGAACTCTCCCTAAAAACAAACAATCAGCTGAGTTTATTGAATTGTCATAATCTCTAAATTGTGCTCAAACAACCAAACAGAATCAGAGCTAAGTTTTGTTCAGCTTTGGGCGAACATTGGATTCAACTTTTGTTCTCAACACCAAGAACACTAGGGGCAGCTTCGATATACATGTCTCTGGTCATACCACAAGTTTGAAGCAAACAAACAAACAAACAGGAGGAACCAAAACATAAACAGACACAGACAGGAAAACAAAAACAATTAAAGATAACCTCACCTCCTTCAGGATATTAGAGAAGAGATGCTTCTGCAAGTATGCAGGGACACTATCCCCCATATGGCCATCGAAAATGGCAAATAATCCTAACTGATGGCCTTGGATATTGATGAAGTTAGCAACGTGATAATCCTCCATAGGATGATTGGCTTTCCCTTTCACCAGACTAAACCCATACTTAATCTCTCCTTCCTCGCTCTTCCCTTTACCCGACCGAGACGATGCTTGTCCCCCTACTACCTAACCGATGAACCAAAACACGCATCAAGAGAAAGCTCAGATTTTTTTTTTTTTAATTATCATGTCTTCTTATCATTCCTTCAAAACGATCATTTCTGAGATACCTACACTAAACCCAAACTGATCCAGATAAATCAATCGTATTTTCAAAGATCGTATTGTAAATCGTGAAAAGTTGCATCATTTCAACAGAATCGGCACTCCTAAATCTCCACAACAACACGCTACAACCAATAAGTGTACATCTCTACCTCGGACGAAGACCTATAGCAGCAGAGCTTTTTCATTAAAGTTGATGAATTTCTTCGATGCCCTCAAACTCAAACTACGAAATCTTCCAAACATACACACAATCTGCAATATTCAGGAAGCGAAATCATAACCCACGATCGAATAGATTCTCCACAAACAACAGAGTTGAAAAAAGACGAATCAAACAGAAGGGGGAAGTACCTCGAAAAAAAACCCTAATTTGCTTCACTCGGAAGGCACAAACGATAACTGAGCCGATGAAATTTCTGCGAAGAAGTCTTCGTTCTCTTCCGTTGATGTCCTTTTCCTACGCGAAATTTACATATATCCAGCGAAGAAAAAGAAAACAGCTTTGTACATAATTGCATTGATGAGCTTCAGGAATACTACATATTAACTTCAGGTTCCATATTTTTAAAATTATCAGTAAGCCCCTCAAAAATGATGGCATATATATAAACTGGATGAATACGTAATTGGAATTCTAGAAGATAGTCACAAAAAATGAAATGTTATTTTTATATTTTATAAAAGGAAACCATTTGTTAAAGGAAAAACAATTATATGAAAATTCCACACTAACATAAATTATAATAAAACTATTCCTACAAAAATTATCTCATCGATCATATCTAGAATCCAGCCCAATCTGTATTCGAGATGTTTTTAAAAATAGGGGGGAAAATATTGGAACAAATCAAGATAAAAGCAGAGTAAGAGCCTAAGAGGTGCAATTCAAAGACAAAAGCAAAACGGATAAAATATGAATGCATTTAATAATCAGATGCATTTGCCTGTTGACTTCCTCTCCTATTATTTAATATCATGTCCTTTTTCCTAAGAATGATATTATCCACACTATCTATGAACAAATTTTGTCCATATGGATAATCAACTTATTATTTTATTTTATTGTTCGTCACGCAATTTGTCTATGTTGATAAAAATATAGAAAATTATTAAAAATGTTTATTATTTTCTGAAATCACATGTTTCCTTTGCCAGTTTCTTGATATATAAATTCTATTTCTTTTTATAAATCAATTCGACGCTTCCGTGTGTTGATTTATAAATTACTGTGTAGATCTATTGTCCGAATTATTACAGATTACACGTAGATTGTGATTTCTAACACGAATAGTTGGTAATATTATCAGTTCCTACATGTATTATTTTTTGAAATATTTTAATGATAAATATTGAAAAAGGACTCTCACACGATATTGTAAATCAAAAATTCCCAAGCTGATTCTATTTTTTTGATACGTGTCAAGTACACTTCAATCCTTTCCTTCCAAGTAGCACTCAACCCACCCAGTTTCACTCCCCTCCTGAATAAAACTCCAGTATCACAAGAAATTCTATCAGCCACAAACATTTTGTGTGCAGCGCACACCACGTGTTACACTGGACCTCGTCTAGGGCGGTTTGCCTGTTACTTAAAGCTCCCCTCAGATCTATATCACGTTCTATCAGATATCTCTCACCAGTGTTTCTCGTACATGTGACTCTTACCAAGGTCACAGACTCTGCTTATCAGTAGCAATAATCTCGACAACCCTTCCGTAATGGGGTCTTCAGTATATATAGACTTCTCCAAATGATTCTTTCAATATCTTCAAATATATGCCTTGTCTTTTCTTGATTGATGTGAATGTCTTCTTTCCTTTTATCACTTCTTTCTTTGTGTGTTGTCCACTTCATTCTTTCATTTGTCAATTTGAACGTTTTAGATGCTAATATGCTATTACCTTGTTTACCAAATATAAAATAAAATAGAATAATTGAGGTGTACTTACCATTGCCAAAGTATTGAAAGATACGTTCAAGAAACAAGAAATGGTCAAAGGCATGGATGGACGGGTTTATGTACATTTTGTCGGTTCATTTAATGCGATTTACATGCATTACCTGACACTTTGACATTACGAAATTTCATATTGATAACAATTTCTTGATATGATTAAAGGTCATATTTATTTGCGGATATTATTACAGAAATTAAAAGTTTATTTTAGCCACTTAGATTCTGCATAAACTATTTTAACGTCTCCTCTGTACAAGTACAACTACAGATTCACTGAAAAACTTACGTTAAGTTCACACACATACATACATATATATGTAAATCAACCGGTCCGAGTGAGTCTTCGACGACAATTGATCTGATGAGACTGATGGCGTGGCTCCAATAACACAGGGCTCGTCTCTGTCCCATTGTCTTCGCCGGGGAAAGTCGAACCAGTCGGAGACCAGACAGGAACCACCCCTCCTTCCCTTCTAGAAGATTCGGCCGTGGAATCTTCCCGATGATCATTCATCTCCACGACCTCTCTGTTCAACACAGTTTCTGTTCTTCCTTCTTCGTTTCCGACCACGTTCAGATTCATGTTCCTCGGGACTTCTCCTCCCGAGTTTCTCACGCTCGCAGAGGAAGATTCTTCTTCTGCAATTTCTCCTCCTCCTCCTCCTCCTCCTCCTGTTATGAACGATGATGCAGTCATACTTGGAACCATCTGATCCATGTAACGCCTCATTGCCGCCATTGGATTTGGCTGCGGAGGATTGAACCCATTTGCCGTGGTTTCAGACAGCTCTTCTGCCGCCATGACCGTATCTTCTGGGAAGTGAATTGTCTCAGATGTTTCTCCAAGCCCTTCGTCTTCATTCATGACTGTTTCTTGTTGCCACATCTGGGACAAGGCTGCTTCTAGTCTGGCTTTTGCTGCATCTATGCTCACAATCTGTCGTGGATAGTTAGATCCAAGCTCCACACCTGCCACTTGAAGCACGTATTCTGGAGCATCCCATGGATGGTGAATCCACTCTGTCGGGAGTCTGGAAAGTTCTGGAAGCCACCTCCGAACGTATTCTCCATCGGGATCAAACTTGTATCCTTCAAGCTGCAGGAACAGAGAAGACCCATCAGTTTTCCACACGAGGAACCACAAAAAGTTTCAATCTTTTTCAATCTTTTATCCTGGAATCTGCAGAAAAAAACGTACGTACCTGCGGATTGTCTATACGGTTGAGCTCACGCCCGTCGGGGAGAGTACCCGAGATGTATTGCCAACCAAGGGCGTCGCTTTCAAGATCAGCATCCAAAAGGGTATCCCAGAAGTACTTCATCCCCCATCTCCATGGAAGCTGAAGAACTTTCACGAAGAAACTTGCGACCACCACACGTATCCGATCATGCAGCCAACCCGTTGCCCACAGCTCCCTCATCCCGGCATCTACCAGTGGGTAACCCGTCCGCCCTTGTCTCCAGGCCTTGAAGTAGCTTTCATCCACAACCCATGGGAACAGTTTCAGATGCCCGAGAAGAGGCCTCTCGTGGCTGTATGGGTGGTTAAAGCTCAGATACCTCGAGTATTCTCTCAGACCGACCGATTTGAGGAAAAGATTGATGCTTTCTTCGCCACATTTGTTCCCTTCATTTGCCCAGATGACCTGCTTGATCCTTACAAGGTGAAACACCTTCCTTACACTGACCTCGCCAAAATGCAGGTGTGGGGAGAGGAATGAGGTTGTGGCACTATCAGCTTTTCGGCTGTTTTTGGAGTATTCGATCAGTGGACCGTCTATGAATGTAGCGAGGGCCTTGTCCGCATTGCTCCATCCAGGAGACCACGCTCGTGCAAGAAGGGCATTGCTCGCTTTCTCCAACTCGTCTTCAAATACCAATGCATCAGAAGGGCATCCAGCGACATCTCCTGCACAAGTTGAATCAACACAAGATTCTTGATTATAACTGGACAAGAATATGCGGTCGAAAAATGGGTATAAGAACACTGCAAGATCAATGAGTATAAGACCAAAACCAAGCTATGCATTCCACACAAGAGGGAAATTTCAATAACTATTAAGAAAGAAAGAGCTTTTCAGCATAAATGTGTTGGAAGAAAAGAGACCAGAGATTATGGATTTGGGGGGGAGAAGCGGAGGCTCGGGGTCATAAGGCATGCTGAGGCATCTCTCCCAAAAGGGCACAAAAGTGGTGAAGGGTCTGCCTTCATTGTCGTTCACTTCCCACGGTTCATATAGCAAATCTGCATTGTATGACTGCACGTGTATCCCATGCTTGGTCAGCACCTCCTTGACCCGATGATCCCTCACCAGCGACAATTGATCTGCAAGCCACAACAGTTACTACTCACTCAATCCACATGTCCAAATAAATGGCTTTTCAGGTATCTCTAGAACAGAACAATCTCAATACTCCTCTAGTTGCTGAATGTTAAGACTTCCCTTATTCATGGCGCAGATACTTACATATTGTCATATCTATATGACAGTTTTATCATCCTACGAATTGAGATTAATACAAATCTATTTCCTCTGCCAGTTATGGTGTTTAACTAGTTCTAATTTTTCCGACCATAACAGAACCAGAAAATCTCCACCAAATGCGTATCTGGTAAATTATCTACTATCTTTGTTCTTCAAGAACATGCATAATCCTAATCATTTGAGATGCCATCAAGCATGATATAGATATATTTGAACTGCATATACCAATGTTTTTTATTCTACTCAAGGTGTAAAATCCATTTTTTTTTCTGCAAACAACAAAGCAGCAAGTCTTCACCAGATGCATCATGCTCACAGCTCCAAAGTCGGAAACTTTTTCCAAAAGGGTTCATCACATAGTTTATAAGGTCCCGGACTACACACAGTTTATAAACACCAGATCGGTCAGAATTTCCATCTGAAACAGCTTATCACGTTCATTCAAGCCAAAACATCAGACCAGAAACATGGACAGAGATTGAGGGAGACACGTGAAGAACACTGACCGTACAAATGGTTGAAGAAGAGCCGAGTTGAACCAGTGGACTTGACAACATCGAGAAGAGAAGAAACACAATCAGTGGATCTTCTGGTGATGAGACAAGTGCCTAAGCTCCTGAGAGATGAATCGAGATGAGCCAAGCTCTGTTTCAGCCACCACCTCGACACCCTCCCTGGATGATAATGCCCTTCTTCCTCCGGCGACCACACGAACACCGCCACGGTGCCGCCGCCGGTACGGACAGCCGCCGTTAGCGCCGGATTGTCTTCGACCCTTAGATCTCTTCTGAACCACACTACACTACAACCACCCCCGTTGCCGCTAGATACAGACATGTCTCAGAGACCCATAAAGATTGTCTTATCGACAACACCCACGAAGATTTAATTGGAGAAATCGATCCAGATCTGATTTTCGCTGTTTTTCAAGGGGTGTGTCCACGAGATAGCCATCAAGAAGACAAATTCAAAATGTGTGCTTCCTCCACTTGATCGAAGAACTTCATGGAAAGGACAAAGCTTTCGATGTCAATAATCAACAAACGAGAATTCCCAGAAACCACGAAACAGGTATCAAATCTAAAGTCTAAAATTTTGTTTCTGGGTTTCTCGATCTTGGCTTTGTTTGGGAGAATGTTAATCGCGTGGGATTAAAAGTCTCATCTCTCGGAAAGAGACTGAAGTGGCTTTTTCCACTCACGGGGATCGATACTTTTGGAAATCATTAATGGGAGTCTATCTTTGTTATCATTTATTTATGTCTTTGAATGGATGTGAAATAGGATCCATGATTTAATTATTTTAGACATTTTATTATCGGCACGCATTATTTAATTTATGTTTGTCTCCAACTCCTACACAATCTTCCCATTCTCCAACATATTTATATTTACCCCAAAATCACATGTTACATTTTAATGAGGGGTCTTTATAGTGTATGTAGACAAGCCTAACCATCATATACATTCATTTTTTTAGTAATCATCATCTTATTCATCACCCATTCAGTTATATATGATTTTTCAGTTTGAACACATTTATTATTGCATTGATTTGCAATTTTACATATATATATATATATATATATATGTGTGTGTGTGTGTGTGTGTAATCTCCACATTTGCTTTCCGTGTTTTTCTTCTCGGTTTATAAAATATCAATGTCAACAAGGTTGAAAGAGATCGTTTTGAAATGTTATTTGAAAGTGAAGTATAGCGTGGAAGTTGATACACACATATATATATATATATATATAACATAATTACATTACAAACCAACAATAAAATTTGTTGTTTCAACAATTCGCAACCACGAACTCTACGCGCATCACTACATGGAAATAAAACTACCACCCTCTCTATTTTTCACGATGCTATCTCCTTACTTATCTCTATTATTTTACTTTGAAAAAATTATCGTATTTTTTGTAATAAGAGTAATTAATTTTGTTTACGCTACATCTGGTTTTAGATTTCAATTGTTTTGATTATAAGTTTGTCCGATTTAAACTATAAATTCACTTTTTTTTTATTCATAAATTTCTCCAAAAAAAAGGACATGGCTTAAAGTAGTGCAAAGGCATGCTCATGTAATGTAGCATGTGGTGGAGTTGTACTGTCTCTTTGTTTTTTGTTTTCTTCCTTATTGTGTTCTACGACCCATTATTATCATTTAATCTTCGTTTTTTTTTTCCTATAAATAGTGTTTTGATCATTTTTTCATTAAATGAAATGAATACACGAAGAGAAATTTCAAATCGACGTTTTAATTATTGTTATATATTAGATTTATGTTTATTTTAATTGTAAAATATATTTTTTTGTCAAAGTTGTAAAATATTGATATCAAGTAAATAATTTTTTACGGATAAATATTATTCCTTCATCCTAAAGCAACAAAAATAATATCCAATATCTAGAAATCCTATTCCTCGACTGTTCGACCTAATTATCTGGAATCTACTTAATTACTATAATATGTAATTGCCGATAAAACTTAGTGATAATTCAATGGCACCACTATCATATCATGTCATGGTCCCATCGGTTTGTTTTCTAGTGTTTTGTTTGCATCTATATGCCCGTTCGAATAATGACATTGATTCGCGTGGGTGTATGATCGACTCCCCTCGTAGTTAATATTGATTTTTTTTAATTAAAACAAATCATTATTTTGGGAAAATAAAACATGCTCTATATTTAATAAATATGTTTCTCCCCCTACTTATATGGAAGTTCAAACATTGTTCTAAAGTTAGATTTCAACAACTCAAACAAAGATGTGTAGTTTTATTTTAAAATTTCAAACCATCCCTTTAATTATATGATTCCCATGTATTTAAATGCGCATCGACAAACAAATTAAGATATTTAATCTTTCGCTTTGGGTGATAGTAGATTTCTCTTTCTGGGGAATGGCCACTTGGGCCTATCTCTGTCATAGTTCGGCTCAACTTTAAAAATGGGCCGATTTTAAGCCCACTTCCAGCCACAGGGTAATTTTGTCTTCTTGCAAACTCGGGCTCGGGAGAGAGAGAGCACTATGAACGTTATTTTACCGCAGTTAAATATCTAAAGCAGTTCTTAGATATTTTAAATTGCAATTAGTTCCATTTTTTTTTTGTAATTATGATTATACAAAATTTTTGTTGTAACAACGCTGTTTTTTCATTTATTTTATAATTGGGGATAGCTAATAGGAAAGAAAAAACTATACTTGGATGAATGGTAAAATGATTCACAAGTGTGTATAAAGTTGGAAAAATATATATATTATTTTTTAAAAATAATAAAATTTTAAAATAAATTATTTGTCAGAAATATTTTTTTTAAACTAACCAAAATCAACACAAGTTATGTTTATTCATCAAAACATTACAAATATATTTTTTGAAATAGATAATTGGTGTATTTTTTTTCCGGTTTAACAAAAATTGGTAAAATTTCTGATCACTTCTCCCGTACATGCACGCGACCTTGTAGCGCGTGAAGCAGTTTGAAGGAGCTAGCCGTTGGCCGCTTATAAACACCGGAGAGCTTGGCGCTCAACTTCATTTGCAGATTAATCTCATACTCGGGCTGAAATTCAAGAAGCGAGCGAGCGAGGGAGAGAGAAAGAGAGAGATTTTCTTCCTTTTATTCTTACGATCTCGATCTCCATCTCCAATCTCGAAATGCAAAAGTTAGGGTTTCCGTTGATAAAGAGGTTCGATCAGCACCGATCGGCGTCCGGATCGGCAAACACGTTCTCCTTCTCCTCCCGCCAGCCTCCAGATTCCACCTCTTCTGGAAGTTTCGCAAATTTGAAGCTTACTGCAGGTTTTTTTTCGTTTTTGAGATTTGTGCTCGTCCTCTTCCGAATTCTTGCGATTTTGATGATAGCCTTCTGTTTTTCTTCGTCTTCAGAGAAATTGGTGAAGGAACAGGCTTCTATGAAAACTGATCTCGAATTGGCGGTATTTCAACTGTTTTCCCGCTTTCTACTTATGTTCCCTGCGTAATCATGCTTATGTTTGATGGATGTAGATACGAGGTATGTTACTAGGGTTTTGTTTACGCTTTTCTGCTCAGCATTTGATTTTCAATCGATTTATGCATGGAAATTCGGATTTTCAGATTTTTGTTTGCTTTGGTATTATTTGATCATCTGCACGTGAATTTTCTATTCCAGAGGATTTGTGACTTCTTGGTTGGAAATCCTGGTCTTTTCCCTTCCAAATCAATTGCTGGGCACATTCTGACTGGAATTTGAACGAAAATTGTTTTCCCCCATGATTCAGAATTCTAAGCTGAAAAAGTCAATGGACCATATCCGTGCCTTAGAAGAAAAGTTGCAGAACGCTTTTAATGAGAATGCAAAGCTCAGAGTAAGGCAAAAGGAAGATGAGAAGCTTTGGAAAGGATTGGAATCCAAGTTCTCTCCGACAAAGACTCTGTGTGATCAACTTACTGAGACTCTACATCACTTGGCATCCCAAGTTCAGGATGGTAGGGATAGATACAACTTTTCTTTGGATTTTATTTTTTCTTATGCTTTGTTGCTTTATCTGTTTCAACTTGGCCTACAGCTGAGATGGATAAGGTGCGTTGTGAGAGCAAAATTTCTGCTAGTTCGGAAGCAATAGACTCTTTAAACAGGCAAATGCAAGAGCTATGTTTAAGATTAGGTGCCGCAGAAGAAAACATCAAAAGCCGTAAGTCCTTGTTTAACGCTATTTTTCGGTAATGTTTACCAATACTGTAAATAATAGAAGTCACTGCAGTAGGCTTCTTATCACATTACTTCAGGGCTCTCTTTCTGAATCTTACTGGTATCAATGTTAGTTTAATGTCTAAGTCAACCATGCAGGTGACAATGAGCTGGAGGAGCTCAAGACTGAGAAAGAGCAGATGAAAAAATGTTATTTGGATGAGCAGTGCCGAACAGCCAGTCTCATCGAGGAGAAAGGTAAAACATCTGTTATTTTAGATTGGCGTTGTGATTTATCACCTGTAGTAAAAAGAATTGATGGTAGAGATGGTTTAATTCTAGATTCAAATTTGAAGAGCTCAATTATATGACAATGCAACAGATCAGGATCTTTTCATTGGGCTGTATGTTATGTAGTAGTCTTTTACCTATTGGAAACAAGATAGATCATCACGGGTTTCTGGCTTATATTACAGAAAGTTATTCAGAGAAAGCACACTTGTTCGCGTGGCATTAACCTTCTTTTATGCCTTGAATCTTATTTTTTTTTTAAACTAAGAGCTGTGTTTTTTAGTCGTTTGCCTGTTAAGACCGGCGATTTCATCTTGGAGTAACATATCTAATGAAAATAAATTGAACACCACTATGGTTTTTCTTTTTCCCACCACAACTTCATGATAAAGGTATTTGGATTATGATCTCTTCGTACTTTCTCCCTTCTTAATGGCAGATGCAATGATAAGGAATTTTGAATCAACCAGTGCTGAAAGGAAACTCAATATTGAAAATTTGAACTGCCAACTCGGGAAGGTGGGCCATGAGTTAAGGATGAAAGATGATGAGATCAAATGCCTTGTTGCCATCCAGGAGAAATTGGAGAATGAAAAGAGGAAAGCTCAATTAAATGCGGATGAACTATCTGAAAAACTGGTTAGCTCAGGCCAGGAGGTCAAGAAGCTTGACGGATTTGTCCATGCAATAGTATCAGAGTTCGGTGAATTGGACAAAAAGAACTTCAACCTCATGGAGAAGTTTGACAAGCTAAATGGTCTGTATGACACTTACTTCCTCTTTCTCCAAAAGGAAAGAGATCTTGCTTCTGACCGAGCTCAAAGGTCATTCCATCAATACCACAACAAGCTCTTGAGTGAAACTTCACGGAAAGAAGCCTTGCAATCAGCATGCCAAGAACTAAATGAAAAAATAGTTGAACTTGAGAAAGCAAAAGGGTTCGTAGCGTCCCAACTTGCTGAAGAACGAAGCACTGCAAAGCAGACAATCAAGAAACTGGAGTCAGAAGCAGAAAGTCTTGCTTCAAAAAACATTGAAACAGAAACAGTGATTTCAAAGCTGAAAGAGGAAATAGAAACTTTGCTGGAGAATCTGAGGGCATCAGAGAATAAAACGGTATGGAATTCTCAGTTATCTATGTGCATTGTTTTTATCCGTGCATACTTGCAATGCTAAATCTGTAATTTTTTTTTAATCTTACAGCATGAACTGTCATTAAAAATTTCGTCATTAGAGTTGGAGAGCAAAGAGCAGTCTGAGAAACTGATGTCTGATACTAAGACTAAGGTTGAACAAATAGAGATCTTGCAGAAAGAGAGCGAGGACTGTCAGTTGCATGCAGATTCATTAGTGAAAGAGGTGAACCAGCTCCAAAGCATCTTAGAGGAGAAAGATCTGATTATCCTGCAGTGCAAGGAGAATGAGAAGAAGCTAGACCAACACATCACAGAGGTTTAGGAATGATATGTTAACAGGACATGACTTTATGTTTTTTTATCCTCCTTTTCAATACACTTCAGATATGAATCCTTCTACAGGACAAGGCGTTGCTGGTTGCTGCTGAAACCAAGCTTGAAGAAGCCAAGAGACAGTACGATCTGATGCTGGAGAATAAACAATTGGAGTTATCAAGACACTTGAAAGAATTATCTCAGAGGAATGACCAGGTATCTATGGAGCCGTTTCTCCACTATAAACTCAAAGTTCTACCTCAAGGATTGTTCAAAACCCTTACCTAAAGCCGGATTTAATATGCAGCAAATTTTCAAACTCAGTTTTTCTGATATTGTTTAGGCAATTAACGAGATCAGGAGGAAGTATGATGTGGAGAAACAGGACATTATTAACGTGGAGAAGGAAAAGGTTTGCTCACATAGCATAATCTGTTGTTGTAATCTATTGAGCAATTGATCATGTTTCTGTGATGTTTTTCATTCTGGCCTCAGGTTGAAAAGGTTGTCAAAGAATTGTCCATGAAATATGATAAAGAACTAGCAGATTGTAAAGAAGAATCAGGGAGACAGTTGCGGACTGTTCAGGAGGAACATGCTTCTCTGGTATGTACCACACATGCATAATGCATTGATTGCTGATCCTTTTGAGCTACATCACTTGACCATCTAGTTAGTTTGTCTTTGAATTTCAGTCCTTCAAATGAATTATGATGAGTTTCTATAATTATCATCACCCATGAAGGTGCATAGCTTATGAATGCATCAGAAGGAACTTACTGAGAGTTCTACCTCTCATAATTAACAGGACTAATTCGAGTTTATTAAATAGATATCTGAGACAAAGATCTTTTTGACCCTATACCTTTTCCATCTTGATCGTTATCACACTATGTGTCATGTTGAGTTAGAAACTTCTGCGAATTAACTGATGCCCACATGTTCTGCAGATCATTAGTATTAAGCAGGACTTTGAGAATAAGGAGCTCAATCTTAAAGCAAAGCATGATGAGGAGATGAGGCGAGCTCAGATTCTGGCTGAAAATGAATTGAAAACGGTATCTCGGGACATTATTCCATAGTTTAATAAATGTAAGAATATGGAGTCATTTGTCTAAAAATAGTTTTTTAGTCTTATCCAGAGGATAACAGCACTCAGGAATGAGCATGAAGTTCAGTTGAAAGCGTTCAAGTGTCAGTACGAAGATGAGTGCAGGAAGCTTCAAGAAGAATTAGACCTTCAAAAGTCTAAAGTAAACATTTCTTTAAGCACCACTTTTAGATGAAACTTTAAGCATTTCAACTAATGGGCTCTCTTTCTCTCTTGCAGGAAGAGAGGCAGAGAGCTTTGTTGCAACTGCAGTGGAAGGTTATGAGTGACAAACCACCTGAAGAGCAAGAAGTAAACTCTAAGAGGGTCAGCATGAAAATAATACGTTTACCTACCATCTATGATCCACCTCCAAAATATCAGCTTATATTATTACACTAATAGTTTTTATTTCTCTTATAGGAGTATTCAGTTTCATCCATAAAAGTTAGAGAATCACGTCCCGGTGGTAGCAAAAGAAGCCAGCACATATCAGTGAGGGGTGACGGCGATGAACAGGCAGGAGAATAACAGGCCATATTACTTTGTTTCTATGTTCCTGTTTGGCCAAGTCTACACATGAATACATTCTCATGCATTGAGTGCAGGATTCCCCTTTTGTCAAGGCAACAGGAACACCCGTGTCACAATTGCTTAAGAAAGTTGAAAATGCTAACACAGGGAGCATAATGAGCATTCCTAAGCACCATCACAAGGTAAACATCACATCACGTCCTTTACACTACTTAGCGTCATCCCCGCCTCATTCCATTTTTTCTTTTTTTGTGTGTGGTTCAACTTGGAAGGTAACTCGTCGTGAGTATGAAGTTGAGACCAATAATGGGAGAACAATAACAAAACGGAGAAAGACAAGAAGCACAGTCATGTTCGAGGTATGCATATAAAGCTTATCCCATTATTAAGATATATTTTCAAGACCCATCTTCTCCAGAGCAGTGTTTGACCTTCCACTTTTCTTGGAACTGGAAACCCCTTGATTGGAACAGGAGCCACGAAAACACAAGGCAAGGACTACACCTAGAGCAAAGACCCCCAAAAGTATCATTAAGGTATGATACTTTCAATTTGCATAATGTTCCCTACTTATCCTTTCCTCTCATTCCTTTGATCTGAAGTTGGTGAGATATATATATATTTGTGTCATGCAACAGGTAACAACCACAAGTGGGCCTCCACGCTCTTCAAATATAGGCGACTTGTTTTCAGAAGGCTCCCTCAACCCATATGCTGATGATCCCTATGCATTTGACTGAAAGGTATATATATAGTATGCAATCAAGAGATTCACCAAACAATCCAGCATCATAATAGAGTTTCTTGTGTTGAAGTAATCCGTTTCTGTGGGCTCATGAATGGATTTAAGAGCAAACACCCTACCATCTTTTTCTGTTCTCTGTTCACAAGTCATTTTCTTGGTAAATGATTTGAACATATTTTTTCTTTCTTTCTTTCCATCTTTCAGGGTTTACATACAGGGCAAGTTGATGCCAATCCCATAAGACAGTTGATCACAAATGCTTTCTATACTGTTTTTTTTCTCTCTAAAGGATGGAGCTTAAGAGGAGCAACATAGCCTTCCAAAACCCGCCCATCTTCGGCAATTTGTTGGGAAACCTTCCCTCACCCCTGAATCTGTCTCTTGTTTACAGTGAATTTTAGACACAATAGTTGTGGAAGTTCATTGATAAGTACCCCTTAAGATGGTACTCTTTCTTTTAACATTTCCAAATGGCGTTCAATGACAATACTACAACCTCCATTTTGTAAGGGAAGTTCGCCCAACTATTAGAGACATTGCAGACGAATTTTACAATGGTTATAAGAAACATCACAATCCCTCCCACATTGAGGGAAAAAGAGAAACAACATGTAGTTTCCAGAAGCATGTTTCTTCCACAACAGTCAGTATTTGATCATTCATGGTGTAATGTAGTTTCTATGAATTTGTGGATCAGAAAGGGATAGACGAGAGAAAGAGGATCAGAAGGAAGGTGGAAATCAACAGAATCAAGGTGACAACAAGAAGCAGCTCCATCAGTCCGCATAACCTCATCCTCTCCCTCCCTGCTTTCTCCCTTGCTAGCCTTCTCCTCAGATCCCCCATTTCTCTCTGCATCTCCACTTTCTCCTGCTTCCATAACACCAACTACACCGATCATTCACGACCCTATTATATCCCCACTCACACATAAGAAGGAGAAGAGTTATGGAACCTCTTCATCGGCGCCCATGGTGGCCGCCTGCTTGCGTGAAGACGCCAGCGTATACAGAAACATTGCTGCTTTGGCGCATCGGATTGCAGCTCGCGTTCTCTTTGCTTCGTCTTTGCTTGTCATCTCCTCCACTTCTCTCTCTCTCTCCTCTATGTTTCTCTTCTGGAATTTTGAATCAGAGTTTCAAATTTAAGCGCCCAGATTTCGAAAAAGCGCGGGAATGGTATCGCAACTAGACACGTGTCGATACACCATTGGTGTTGGATAAGAACTGAAACACATGGTTTAGTAGGGCCCATTTCTAGTAATATTGGGCCGAATAAGGCCCATATAGTATTCGGAAGCGTGATCCGTGTGTATCATCACCATTGATCATGCACCGAAACGTTACGATTTGTTGTTGTTGACACAATATCTAACATAACTGTGTGATAGAGACTTGTGTTGTAAGTACATAACCATTTTAATCGTAACATAATGCGAAAAATTTAATCTCCATGAAATTCCACATTAGAGAAGAAAACACAATTAGATGAGAAGAAACAACAGGAAACGATACAAAACAAAGAGTGTTTTGTCAAGTTTTGGTTTGGGTTATTCATGGAACGACAACCAAAAAAAAAAAGGGGGGGCCGTGGGGAAGAAGGAAACAACAACAAAGATTGGAATTACAGTCGTACGAGAGTCTTCACTTCTTCAAGAGATTCCTTGAGAAAATCCTCTTGCAGTACGGATTGTTACGGAGAATCGAATGAGGTCTTACAACTTCCACGATCGAAGCATGAAGAGGGCCCTGTCCCACCCCCATTCATTCCCCTGTTAGTTTCTACGATAATGCGTACGAACTGACCACTGCATGATTTATTTACTTAACCAAAGAAATGATCTCAAGAGTATGAACGTTATTCCCCACCAGTTTATGAACATTCCTAAATGATTACTTCCATACTTGACGTCCTCTTTACCGTTTGATCAAATGTTTGCATCGGTTAACTAGCCGAGCCAGTTCACTTACCCTTAAAGCTGGTCCAGATTTTACTAAACGCATGATCTTTTGTATAGTGCTTGTGTGTATGTACACAATTATACTGGCAGACTTAAAAAAAGAGCGTACCTTAGCGACAGCAAGAGCGGCTTGGATGACAAAGTTGGCAAAAGGGTCTTGAAGAAGCTGATCGAAATGAGGAACAGATACCAATTCACGTATGATCTGAGGACGGCTCTCGGGGCAGTAGGTGAGGCATCTCTCCACCACGTGGCTGCTAAATTTCTGCATGGAAAGCTGCACGTAATGCCCTTTTAACTGAGTCAGCATCGTCGCTATGGCTGAAGGAACCCTCAGTTCTATGACAAACTGGACCGCATAGTTCCTGCATATTGACCAAGATAAAGTGTATGGATTCCTCGTTGATCAAATCCGTTACAGTAGGTTCTTTTTTTTTAGTCCATGAGATTGTTACCCGAAAGGGTCTTGGGCTAGGAGGAGACTGTTTCTGGAGATTTCAGAGATGAGCTTGTCCTTCTGCTGTCCGATGGAATGAGCAATGCACTTTTGCAGAACGCAACAGCCATGTCGATGGGTTGCGATGTCAGCACAGAACTTCGTGGCTGCATCAAAGATGAACTGCAAACAGATAAACACGAAAAAAACGGTTCATAGATTGGATTTTAATAGTTCAGAATTCTGGTTTTCCAAGATCAAAATCATTAGTTGGAATGAAAAGGTGGGTGCTTGACCTTGTTGTCTTCCGTACTAAGGCACTGCAAGCAACGTTGAATCACGTGATTCCCATTTAAATCCTTGATGAGTTCAAGGAAACCAGGTCTCAGAGCCAATTTCACCAGCGAAATCTGCTTCCGGGTTTTGATTGTTTCGACTAATCTCTGGACAACCCGGGTACTAAATCAAAAACATTGAAAACTGCTAGTTTAGTATTGTTATCACACAATGGCAGAAACTGATCTAAAGATAACAGAAAGATCTATGAAGGAGATTACCCGTATGCGTTCAAGGATACCCTGATAAGCTGTCCAGGTTCTGCAGTGGCCAAGAGGATGATCTCGGTCCTTTGTTCTTCAGTACAGACATCCAACAGTTTCTGCATGAGGTAATTTCCAAAAGGGTCCATCATAAGCTCAACGACATGATCAATAACCTCGTTGAATATGATCGAGGCAGCTTGAGCATTTCCCTCATCAAATATCCTCTGCAAGAATCGGCAACCGTGCTGATCTTTAGCCATCAAGTACACATAACCCTGGATTTCGGACATGTTTAGCAGGCATGGACGCAACTCTGTGTTGCCAAGACCCAAGAATGTCCGGCCGCTTCTCCTAGGAACCATCGGTTGAATCGGGTAACCTTCCGCGCCATAGTTCAAGCCTTTACCTTGCATGAACAAACTGTCGTCACAACTGAATGGCTCCACACCTTTAGCAGAAACCATCGACTGAGGAACTCTGGTGTTTGGCAATCCAACAGTATCTTCACAGAAGAATGGCGGAAAGTCCGTTGCTTTGAAGCTCATTTTGTGAGAAATGCCCCGTTGCGCCATATGCTGAGAAGGGAATGGGTAGACTGGCTCCCTCCCTCGGTTTGAACCCCACCTGAACAGGTCCAGACCGGCAAAGGGTTCGTTGATGTGAGGGCTCACATTGCCTGCGTAGCTCTGCCACCCGAGTTGTTGAGAACTGTCGAACAAATCTGCCATGTAAGGATTACTATAAGGGTTCAGCAAAGGAACGCTCATGCCAAGAATGTTTCTCTTATCATTCTTTCTCTGGTCGAATCCAGAATTGCTCTGGCTGCTGTATAGACCAGTGTTCAACCAGATATTCTGTGAGAAGTTATGATCATTAACACTAGACCCTTTTAGATTATTGAAGAATGCAGGCTGATCAACACCAAAACTGGAGGGAACCCCACACGGAAAGCCCCCGGAACCAAATCCACCATTGTTGAATCCATTAAGCCGTTCACATTTTTCCAGGTTGTAAAGTGGATGTTCCGTGCCGGGGATAGACCGGAGACCATCTGCCTGATTCTCGGGTCGTCCATTACGAGCCTTCTCTTCTTCAAAATCGTCCCTGATGTTCATCAGATAGAGATTTTCGCAGAGACCCAGATCATCAGCCAGATTCTCATCATAGAAACTATTCAAATCCTTATGAAACAGTCCATCAGAGTGATGACCAACCGTCGAAGCATGATAGTACTTAGCGGTCGCATCGGACGGAGGAGAAGCGAAGGGAGAACCACCGTTGGAGGAGCCGAACCCCTTAGAGAAGGAGCTCGAAAGAGAATGATCGGAAGAAGACCGGTAAGAGACCCTACTCGAAGATGAGACTCCGCAGATGATATTTTGGGGAAAGAGATGGAGGTTCGAAGAGTGTGACGAGGTTCTGAGGATCTCCTCTAATGGGGGAGGAGAAGGAGGAGAACGGGACGGAGAAGAAGCGGAGGAAGCTTCTGGAAACTCATTCATAATCATCATGGCAGTGGTCCTTGTCTCTTTCTCGTATTTCACAGACATATCGCGAGCCACAACACAGTGATGTTCTTCCTACAGAGACACCCACGAGAGTAACAGAGGAGAGTCGAAATTTTTAACAGAAACCCAAAACCCACATCACAATTCTGCAGAAGAAAACAAGGTTTCGAGAAAATAGAAACGGTAAGGGTTTCGAAAAGGAAGAAGAAGAAGATGATGGTGACGATTACTGTTTCTCCATATCAGTGGCGGTTCTCTGATCTTACCAAGGGACTCTTGGCATTTTTTGAAATCACGAGCCCGGCGACCGAGGGGAGAGGTGATGGTGAAAGAAGGGCCTAGGGTTCTTCGTGTCGCTACGGTTATGGAAGGAGAGGCCGTACAGTCGTCCTCTTGCTCTCGCTCACGCCATTAAAATGATGATTCGGAATCGCACAGTCGCATACAAGAAGAGAGAGAGAGAGAGACTTGGGAAATGGTGTGTATTTTCTGTTTCTTTTGTGTTCTTTTATAAACACACTTTTCTTCAACCATCTATAAAAGCATTTTACTCTCATGAATTATTCCAAGGAAAAACAATGCATTATTTTTTTTGTAGGATATGTTAATAGTTTCTACTTTGGGTAATTCAGTATTCATGGAGTGGATAAAAAAAAACTAATTAAATATTAATTTTATAAGTAAAAAAACTTTTAACAGAAAGCTATTAAACCTCCTTGATTTACTCATTCTACGTTTTGATCGGTTTTCTATTTTGACAGATTCCGTTCTGAGATTCGCTAAGTGTTTTTGGATTAGACTAAATCTCTCGGGATTAACACTAATCATTCCTCAAAAATATATTTAAAATTGTTAGTTTGGTAATAATAATAATCATAATAATAATAATAATCAGAACTCCAGATGAAACCATTCGAGAACTTTATTTAAATGAAATCGTACGGAGATAACAAAAATACCTAAACATTAGGGTGGAAAAACTCAACTTTCCAAAATTGGATAGCTAAGTTTTCTCCGACCAAAAAAAAATCCCTTATTGAAACCCGCTTCTGAAATAAAAATCGGACAATATATATATATATATATATATATATATATATACACACACACACGAGTATTTCGGATTTTAGTTATGTTTAGATTTCTTTATTTTTAAACTTGATATTTTATTTTATAAAAGTTATATTTATTTAAATTAAACAAAATAATTTGATTTCAGATTTCTTATGTTAAATTCGGGATGTTTAATAGAAACAATATCCAATTATATTTTAGATAAAAATCGCATAATCTACGAAACATCCTCATCATTTCCTAGTAAATGAGAAATTCTTCAAAGATTTCCGCAGAAGGCATCGATTTATTAAAGGTTAATAATTTAGAATTGAATTCTCTCTTTCCTTTTGCCATATTTCACAAGGCAAACGCGCAAGTGAGGTTGTTTGTGGCGGTCCATATCAGTCGTAATCAACATGTATCTTTATTTTCCTTCATCCATCATTTGCGACCTATATTTATATTTATATTAATATTATACAGAGAGTGTGTCCAATAATCTAACAAACCCGAGATATAAAACAAAATCATCAAATTAAATTTGCTTTGACTTGGGCAGAGGGTGAAAATGATTGCTTGCGAGCCAAGAAACTTCCGTCGAATGCTTCTCCCTCGCAGTTTCCAGTCCGTCCCCCTAGTCACGCTCGCAGCACCAAAATGCGTATAAAACGGTGAAAAAAAGTCACAAGCTTTATGAACATACAGAACCATGGTATCAGAGTCCGAACCCTAAAACAGGAACGAATAATCAAACAAAAAAATTAACGAGACCCACGAAATGATGAAAGAGATTGTAGTAGAAAAACCATCAAAACATGGCCGGATGCTTCTCCCTTAGTTTCGCTTTGCTCATATGCTTTTCCGTGTAAGAGAAGAGGGCGAGACATCGCCCTTGATTATGACAGTCCTTCGGATTTCTATGTATTTTGCATCAGACAACTGCTTCTTGAGCTCTGCAGCATCTGCTTCGGTATCTCTGGCAGAGTTGTCGGTCGGCCATTTAGGGGATACGCTCTCCTCCCCACCAAGTTATATGGGTCTGAATGTAATCAAAACTACATCTTAAGAGTAAAATACAATATATTTTTGAACTTGGAAACACAAAACTTGAGGAGATACCTACGTGATACATGGGCCATTTGCAGTAGAGGAGGCGCTGGAAACCTCTGACCCGTCATCTTCTCTGTTGCAGGAAAATATCCCACTGCCAGTTATCTCCTCCATGTTATTTTCATAGCATGGTTCTCTGCAGCATCCCAATAGTTTCACAATCCAGCTAAAATCGCCGACATAAAAGCCCCTGAGACATCAAAGAAGGCGTATGGCAAATGAGCATAACAGATCAGTTCGACCGAGTTCAAACAACTAACAAGACCCAACCCAGAGTTCTGTATGGCCGGTTGTTCAGAAGTCCCAAATGTCTGATCAATTTTCTCCATCATCCAAGCACAAAGAGGAAAGGATGAGCCCATCCAATGTTTCCGTACCAAATTTTCCACCAAAAAGTCAATATTTGTTTTGAAAGTACACAAAGGGATCCACATATAGTTTCAGAGCAGCAACAGGCACAGAATACCAATTAACGAACGTGATGCTTAGTATGTGAAACCACGGAATAGAAGCTATTGATCCTGAATTGATATCCAAGCAATTGACAAAGATCACGAAAACTCAATACGGCGAATTCAATCCTCCGAACGAGCAAATCCATTACGCGTCCTATTGATTTCGATTATCAAATGCTAAGAAAACGAAATCCCAGTACACGCTCAAATTATTAGTTGTGTTTGTTGCAACCGACATAGAAAAGGGGGGGGGGGACAAAGAAACCACAGGAAAAACGGAGAAACATTACGGATCAAAGCACGGAAAGAGAAGAAAGAAGGAATGGAGGAGTCTCACCCAGGCTCTCGACCTCTCCACCCGTCACTTAACCTCCAAACACCACCTTCCTAATCCCATCCGACAGCTACCGTGATTTCCACAGGAAAACAAAAAGAAAGGCGTAGAACATACCAAATTGTAGAAATCAAAGCAAATCGCGAGGAGATGGAGGCGGCTCGTTGGGAACGTACAGCGGTGGACGGAGGAACCGACCAAATCAGCAGATCTGCGGTGGGCGTTACCAGCGGAAGATAATCTCACATTTGGAGTCGGTTCAATTTAAATGGGGTTTGTACATATTTCATACTTTTTTCCATTATTAAAAAAACCGAATTACAAGTTTTGGGCCCAGACAGAGGCCCATGTGAAAATCCATCAAAACTAAAAATAAGCAGCAAGGCCCATGTTTTTTCTTTTGACTGTGGATAATTCAATGAAGTGATTGTAATATCCCAAATATGCATCATTTCGGTTCAAATTTCTAAATTTAATCTTCAAGATATTTGGGTTTTGAATAATTTCAAAAAACTTGCAAAAAATCATGTAATATATTCTCTTTTTGTTTTAATTCGTCATGACTTTATATCACTCGCTACAAATGTTAGTACCGTTTTCCTATGCATTGTTCATATATTCATTAAAATAACAACATCCATAAATAATAATTTATCTACATTGGAAAATTTTTACAAAATTTTACTAATATTCAGCGTAAAAATCTAAAAATACTTTTTTTAGGAAATATTTTCCCTCATGCGTGCCAGTGCCATATTTTTTTTTAAAAAATTGATGAGTTTCAAAGATTTTTCTTTTAAATTCAATGCCCAGCTTTTAATGGAACCCTCCGATCTGTTCCAAACGTGGGAGTGTAGTTTCGGTTTCGTCCAAAGACTCCGTATGGTTTAGAGGCTTATAAAGAAGATTCATTAAAAAAAAAAAAAAGGAAGGCATGCCTAATCAAAGAGATTTAGTGCAATGATGGACGCTACGCTGCAATGATGATTCATTATTATGATCCCAAATCTTTTTCATTTCCTTTTTTATCTTCTGGTAAGTATAATTCTGATTCCTTTTTTAATATTTGCCAAAATCTTAATCTTCCCGTAATTATTATTGGTTCTGTTTAAACTTCTACTAATCGAATCTATTGACCTTCCAGGGTTTGACACATATCAAATATGTAAGACTGCTTATATTAAATGTGTATATTATTCATATATGCTTATATTAAATTGGTAATTCGGATAATATATATCAAACGGGTATTTGAACAAGTGTTGGCCGAATTTGGGGAAGTCTTTGAGAGTTTTCGTACGAATTTTTCTAAGAGAAACAATAACGCTTTGGGTTGGCTCGGTTTTAAAAAAGGAGTCGAAAGGTATTTTGACCATTTTTACGTTTATTTAATAAACATATTTTATCTATTTCTTCTTAGTTTTTCTGCTATTGCTGACAAACAAAAAAATCAAATAAATAAACTGTTTTTTTTTCTTCTGAAACATAGAAACGATATTCTCTCGTCGAATTATATCATAAAAACCTTAGTTAAATTAAATACTGTAATTGTTTAAAACAGGAAAAAAAAAACTGCCGCAATTACACCAAAAATTGGAGGAGGGCTTGATTCATGGTCCCAAGACGTTAGGCACATGACTCTGCCTTTGCTACATTTTAAGTTTCGTGGAACTCACTGTACGATTACAATAATAAAACGCACCAAAAATATTTAAACGAGTTATAACAATAGAGTTCATGATGAAACGAAAGTTTGAATTCATGCATACAATACAACATGAAGAACACATAAAATCAAATATTTATCCATTGAGCAAGTTTCTGTACACATTGTGAAGATCATCAAACACGCGAAACGGAGAGTGGGAACAAAACCTTCAGAACATATAACCCCAGAGATAGATAGATACTTAATAATACACATATTATATATAAAAAAACACTTGTGAAAGAAAAAAAAAAGAAAAAAGATTGTTTGATGAAGAAGACGATGAAGGATCGATGCTCATAATTTCTTCCAGCTTCGGCTTTTGGACAAGGCATCTTTAATTCCTCCGACAACCCAAGTTTCCTTTGCGATGTCTGCAGATAGTCTGTAGAATTCTGTGTCGTATCTCATCACCACCAAGTTCATCTTCTCTTCCTCCATTAACGACCTCAGATCCTTCTTCTTCTTCTTCTTCTCTTGATCCTCTTCATCTCCTCCTCCTGTACTTTTTAGTGTACTTTCCACTTCTTGTTCCTTCTTCTGCTCTTTCTCTTTCTCGTTTCTCTGTTCTTCTAACCAGCTTTTCGCCGGAGCCGACCTGCATCTCATCAGAAGCAGCGCGTTTGGCGGCGGGAACGCCGGTTTCCAAAAGGGTTCATCACATAGTTTATAAGGTCCCGGACTACACACAGTTTATAAACACCAGATCGGTCAGATGTTGGTGCGTACCCGCCGGTTCCGCTTCTTATTTGTCGTTGCCGATGTTGCGGAAATCGCAGGATCCGCGTTTGCGTTCGCGTTTTGCGTCGACACCGTCTGTCTGATTCTCCTGTAAAACCATGAACCATTTCGAGAACACAGTCCTTGAACCCTCGTCCTCTTCCTCTTCTTCTTCTTCTTCGTCATCCTCTTCGTCGTCGGTGGTTACATCGTTCCTAGGAAACGATCCGAAACACCGGAAATCGAACCGAATGTTTCTGAGGCACGTCAAGAAACCCATCACGTCTTTTTTGAAGCCGAGGAATCTGCTCTGAGATCTGCTGTTGTGTATCCTCTCGATCTCTTCCATCACAGACTGCCAGTTCTTGCACGCGCCTTCCCCGGCGGGGCGTTTGCTCGGCCGCACCTTTATCTGACCGGCGCAAGTCACCTTGGGAGATGTGGGCTCAGCGATCTCTCCGGCGGAGGATGGGGAGCCCATCAGCGTGGAGCTCTGTTTCGACCAAAGCATAGGACTTGCGCCGGGGTTGAGCTTGCTGACGTGGCGGCGGCTCTTGGAGACAGACGACCGAGCCGGGCTGCAGATGGGTTTCGGGGCCAACGCCAGGTGGGCTCGTGACGGGAAACATACCAGCAAATCTGCAGAGTATGCAGATCCCGACCCTCTGCCTCCTTCTCTTCCTTTCATGGCCTCCTCTTGGGGTTTGGATTCCAGATCTGATGGAAAGGTTGGTTGTTCTCCGAGAAGATGTTTTCACTTTGAATTTGTTCAAGTGTGTCGACGGCTCTCCAATGTTCAAACTTTTATTACTTTCTTTTTAATGGAAACCCTTTTTCGATATAATAATAATAATAATAATAATTATTATAAAAATAGTTGTGCATCGATCTTCACCAACTGTCTTTTTGTTGAAGACATTCTTGACATGTGGATGCGTATATATATCAAGACATGGGTCAAAAAGTGAAGTTACTCCCATCGTTAACAGGAAGCTTCTTGACTGAATCATTCATTTTAAGATTCGAATTCAGACAGTAACCATACCAGACGATGTCCACTGCTTTTCCACTGTAATATTCACTATTTCTCTTAGGACTTGCAATCTTTTAATATCTAAATTCGTTTATAAACTTTCGTGCCATAAGAATCATACAACAACATTGAAATTAAATACTGTAAAATAGACAATAATGTGACTACCAAAACGATCAAATTACATATGATATATTATATATAACGTTCTACTGCTAAATATACATACACACACGCAGAGTTTGTATGGTGCAAAAATATTTCATAATTTAAATAATTATATATATATCGGTTATATATATCGGTGATAGGAAAGGTATATCGGTAAAGTATCTCATTTGTCAGGTTATAGTCGAATTGCTCGATTATATCACTGTTGGAAAGGTTTCGTGACCTTTACTTTGCCAACTTCACCACTCACACACACACACATATATATATATATATAATATATACGGCATCATACTATATATTTTTTCCCATTTGCATGACAAAAAAAAGGAAGAAAAATAAGAGAGATGGGAAGGGGAGGAGGCTTGCGTTCATAATGCAGTGATACCCACGAGCTTTGGTGTGTGGTCACACTCACGTCCTCCTTTGTTGTCATTACACTCCCTAACGTGCCACCTAACTATATAATATATGATTTTCTTGTTATAAACTCTTTTCCCCATATTCTGATCTATTATTTGAACCGTACAGAAAATTAACAGAAATTTTAAGAAACCATTGATTTTCTATCAAACACTAATGTACCATCGGTCCATATGTTTTCTATAATTATTTTTAATATCTATTATATATTAATTTTATCATTAGCTTTTAAATATTTTTTCATAAAAAAAAAACTAAAGAGATCAGATTGGATCTTGAGCTTAATTTCATCAACAACGATGGCTAACGTGCTTGAGAAACCCGATCAAGTAGTTGATCCGCGGCCAATATTTGGAAGTTTAAAATTACAAAACAAAGTTATTAGATTATTAGTTAAATAACGAACATTTGCGTGGATGGTGGACCGTCCCTACTTAGAGTTTCACATTAGACAATGATATGATGAGCACCGTACATTATAATGAACAATAATATGCAGAGGGCTACATATAATCATTTTTATTAGGGTATAAAGGACTTATTCTTATTTACTCACCTAATAATGCATCAAAATTGATTATATAAAAAAAGAATTCGTCCTTAAAATATCAGCATATTTTATTTTTATTAGAGATGTATATTTGCCTTATATGTAATATACAAAAACTTTGATAACAGTAAATCAATGAGTTATATGCGTTGCAATGTGGATTTAATCAAAAGTATATGATAAATAAAAACTAAAAAACTAAAAGTTACTGCTTTCTCATTCTATTTAACTTTGCAAAAAAAAAACATTTTTTAAATTTGTAAATTGACTATCATAAAAACCAATTAGTTCCCATGAAAAAACAAACTAAGAGCATCTTTGGTCTGTTATCAATTTATCTATAATCTATAAGATTACCATTATTATTAGTGTAAGAACTGCTTATAATTCTCGATCTTTAAAGAATATCAATATTTGTTTTTGTTCTTTGGCAAAAACATCTGAAACTAATCAATGATTTGGATTAAAGCATCATTTTAGCCGAAACTGTAATGATATTATTTTCTTCATCATTTGCGAATTTTAAATTAAACTACAAATTTATGTGGGGGAAAGGACCACACATTTGATTAGAGAGCAGGATGCCGTTTACTGTTTAATTAATGAAACCAACTTCATTTAATGATGCAACCCGATGGCTACAAATATGATTACTATACATTACAATAAGTGATATGGACCGATCATATATCAAGGGCCTTTTCTCCCCTAACCAAATATTTTGTTGATTCCTTACTCTAATTTTTTTTTAAAAAAAAAATCAAATTTTCAGATACCTATTTGGTTTGGAATCCTATACAGGAATATTCTTGCAGATATATGTAAACGTGGATTAAAGAGAACCTAATAATATTTAATTTTATTTAAATCAATTTCTATTTTAAAAATCGATTAGATATCATTTTCTTAAAATCAAATTAATCCAACCAAATAGAACCGAAAACGAATAAATATTATCAGAAAGACCAAAATAAAAAAAAACTTGGAGAAAATTGAATCCGGTCCAACCTCCCAGCGATTTCAAATCAATATAATATTTACAAAACCTACAAATTCTAATTAAAAAAAAACAACCTAATAAAAACCATATATTTAAATGGGGTTGGGCTTATATGGGCCGTAGAGAAAGGCCTCGTGTGGTCTCTGCCCTATAAAGTTGTTTTTCTGGTACGTTGCCTTGTTCAGTTTGCCAAGGACTTTTTCTGAAATGACGCTGATTGAAAATATTTGTTTTTTTGGTAAGTTTCTTTTTTTCTTTTTATTCTTTTGGTTAAGATTATTACAAATGGAGGAGGATATATTTCAAACTATAATTTGTAAGAGTAAGAGGTAAATAAATATTTAGACCCACTATTATAAAGACAGTTATTTTTTTGTTTGGGCATTGCCTGCCGTTGGATTTTCCTGCTCAATAGTTCAATTTTCCCAAACTTTTTTTACTTGATTGTGACAATTTTGCTGTTCATAATTCAAAACGTGTTAAAAAAATATTATTTCCGAGAGTAAGGAATGAAGAAGTTCATGTGATAGTTTTCCGGCAAAACGCCGAACAATTGAACATACGAAGTGGAAGATCAATCGGACCATTCGGAATGTTCTACTAGCTATCAAACGGAACCCTATGATAGAGTATCTTTGCTTGCAGATTGGTAATATTTGACGCGAGACGTTAGAAATTAGATCGTGATAGTTTTTTTTTTTAAAGACATATTATCATTTTCATATGGTTTCACTATCTTTTATCAAAAACAGAAGTTGGGTTGTAAATTTTTGGATATAATACAAATCACCTTGAAAACCAAAAAAGAAAAAGAAAAAGAAGTTCATGTGATTTAGCCACCGAATCTGATTGGATCAAGCGTCTCTCTTTTGATTACATATATATATATATATATATATATATATATATATATGTGTGTGTGTGTGTATATAGTGAATATAATGGAAAGGGTAGGACCATAATAGATGCCAAAATCTCATATCGACCGTACTAAAGCTGCATCACATTCACCATGGGAAATAAATCGTGGCATATCACAACATATACAACCAAACAGAATAAGACACGTTGGAAGAAAAAGCCCATCACAAAGCCCAGTAGTAGGCCCAATAGCTAAAACGAATTCATTTCAAGTACATTTCTCCTACGTTTCAGCAGCGCCGCAACCGCCTCCCCGTACATACAGTCGCCGCCCATATCCCCCGCGAACGCCTCTGCCGCAAGATCATCATCTCCGGTAGCCCCGCTTGGCCGGACCACCACCAGCGTTGCGCCCTCGAGACATATCCCACTCTTCAGCCGCAGCGACGGCGCGTGCCTCATACTCATCCTCACGCTCGGCACCACCGTACGGCCCCTCTCCACCTCCCCCACGCGCTCACCGCCGTCTTCTCCGTCACGCTCAGCCGCCTCTGAAGCGTACTCCCTCAGCCCCTCCGTGTCCATCACCACTGTCCCTTCTCCTTCCCTGTCTCTCAGGACAACTCTCTCCATCTCTTTGTGCTCCTTCGCCACTTCTTTCATCCGTAGGTGACGCGCTGATGCCGCCATTAACGCGCTTACCGTCCACACCACGCGCGTCTTCAGCCCACTCACAAACTCCACGTCCGACTCCGCCGTACCTTCTCTCTCGCCGGAACATTCCTTTGAAACCGTCACGGAACGGAACGCGACGATGACGCAGCTCCTGAGGGTCTTCCCGAACTCCGCCTTCCACTTGACGGCGGCGCCTTTCTCGAGGTTGATGTCACCGCCGGGAAACTCCACTTCCAGATTCTGGATCCGGTCAAACCCGGAGAGGATCTGGGCCGGGTTTTTCGGGGGCCGGGTGGGGTGGACGGGTCGGGGGAACAGCGGGAGGAGGTCATGAAGGGACTTGAAGAGTGACCGGAAAAAGCCGACAACGGGAGAATCGAACTCGGTGTCGGACTCGTGGTCGAGTCGGAGGAGTAGAGACTCGGACTGAGGAACGAGCGAGTTGAGCCGCTTCGACACGGAACGACATCGTATCAGCGTCTTTACGTCACCGACTCTGTTCAAGATGTCCAATACCAGAGTATCTGGCAATCGATCAAACAAGTCCATCGATTTTTTTTCCTTTAAAAAAAATTGGATAACTTTGTTTTGAAAAAAAAACTTTTTTTGTATTATCTTCCGTTTCGATCCAGACAGTGTTTGGTTAAATAGCAAAGTGAGACGACCGGTTACCGGCAACGTAGGACCCACATTGCCGCCTTTTTATTAGAATTAATTAATAAAAATAATTAAATGTGGTTTGATTTTGTCAAACGAGACATCAACCATTGCATTTGGTGCTTATGCAGCGAACAGCTTCCTTCATCGACGGCCCATCTGCCTTAATCCTGCTTAACGTTAGTTTATTATATAACTTTTTTTTATAAATAATATTGGATTTCAAACTTCAGAATCAATTTATGAACTTTTATACACGTTGTTAAAATATTTGAGAGATTTAAAATTTTGAATTGTATAATATACACATTTTAAATTAAAATATTTTCTGTGTTGAATGTCAACTCAATTAATTTTTGGTTATTATTCGACATTAAAATTAATATATTTTAATCTTTTCACTCCAAGATTTTAATTTTGTTAACTGCTTTAAATGAAACTAGGCTTGATCCTCTAAAGTCTAAACCATGTAGATGATTTTAATTCTGCAATTTTTTTATCATTCAAAATTACTCACCTTATATATATATATATATATTCTTATAAAAATCAGCCTATTTTTCAAATCCATGTTTTGATGTTTTGGAGAGCTACAACATCCAAAGTGTTTTTTTTTTTTTGTGTTTTACTTCCACTAAAACAATTATATATATATGTATATTATAATTGTGGAATAAAAGTAAATTTCCCAGCAATGTAGCAAACAGTACAACTTCTAAGATTTATATATTATGTTATATTCCATCACAAGTAAAGTAATTCTTATGTGTTTCCGTCAATTGAAAATTATAAAAGTATAATTTGTACAATGAAAAATTAAAAGATTAACTCGATTATGTCATCGACCGGCTCCCATTATGACACCACTTTTGTCATTTCAGATTATCACATCCCTCCATTAATTTTAATTGTTTGAATATTATATATATATATATATATATGCGCGCGCGCGTGTGAGAGTTGAAATAACCAATGGAATTTTAAAACAAAGATTCTTTCAACTAGAGAATAATCCAATAGAATTTAAAATCAAAGGGTTTGTTGAATTCAATTTTTTTATTTAGTTATCAAATGGTATATGCTGTACTATGAAAATTTAAATTACAACATTGTGTTGATACAAATTAGTTCCATAAAAAATTGAAACAAAGAATATTACAGATCATGTAATTTATATGGTTTCTCTAAAATATTATGGAAATCTATTAATATTTTAAAGGGGAATATTTTACTTAAGGGAAATTAAGTATTTAATATTCTAAATTCAGTCCCTTACATCTCACCCGTGACAAGGACTAAACTATATATTATATAGATTCACACGGGCAATGATTAACTAAGACTGATTTTAATCATTGTTTGTTATATATTATTATTGGCGAATTTTATATTCACCCTTGATATAGACGGGTAACTAAAATCGATTATAAAAACGAAATATACAAACCGTAATTAAGCTATTAGAAAATATGCAAAACAGAGTGGAAAAATAAAAGAATATGGGAAACATATGTGTGTATATATAAATTACTTACCAACTTTTATTTTACAAAAGAAATATATATAAAAGACAAAAATTGTTATATTAAACGGTGAATGAACAATATATATTGCTAAAAGACAGTGATTAGGAGTATTAATAATGAGAAAAAGGTATTAAAACTCAATAGCCCATTGGACACCGTAGTTGTTCGAGGCATTTATTTAGGCTTTTAAATAAACTGTTGGCCCATCATGTTGTCAATACTGAGTCCTTATGCAAATGACCGCTTTATACTTTATTTTGTATTTATCCAGGCATTTAAATTATAATTTAAATATTAATTATTGGTGAAGATATTCTCCTATTATTGATTTCATAAATTAATATCACCATTCTGGGAAAAAGAGATCAATTATAGAAAATTAAATGAACTGTATCTAGATATACATTATGGAGAGTAACATCTCACAAAGTTTCCGTTTTAAGAGGTAAAACCTCTTAAAAACCTCAAACTTGCAAAAATATATACAAATAAACCTTTAACTTGAAAAAGTGTCATTCAATCCCCGAACTTGTAACTGAATAAAACCTCGAACTTGCAAATTATTGCTCTAATAAACCTTTGACCGGTTTGACCACAATTTTAGGCGATCGGAAATTTACGTATTAACGGATTGCTGATGTCACATTGTACATGTTATCAATTTTAGTTTAAAAAAATGATATCAACAATCCGTCAATACATGGATTTCCGATCGTTTGAAATTGTGGTCAAACCGGTCAAAGGTTTATTAGAGCAATAATTTGCAAGTTCGAGGTTTTATTCAGTGACAAGTTAAAAGTTCAGGGATTGAATGACAGTTTTTCAAATTGAATGTTTATTTGTATATATTTTTGGAAGTTGGAGATTTTGTAGGGGTTTTACCCTTTTTAAAAATATACAATATTTCTCTGTTTAAAATAAAATAAAATAAAATTTCGTATTTGGGCTATTGGGCTCAAACTTTGGGCTGGAATGTCTATGATAAAAGTGTGAATATAAAACGATAAGGGGCTAAAATAGAAATATGGAAACTACAGCAGATTCGGTGTCGATTCAATAGCACAGAATCCGACGGGTACATATCACCGTATGTAGAGCCGTAGAAAGAACGTGCAGTCTATGAATTACTTTTCTCTCCCCCTGTTTGGGAGAAGACAAAAATAACCGAGAAACCGAAAGAAAATTCGGGAAATAGAGACGAAGATCGTCGTTGACGCTGCAGGTCAAAGATTTGGTTTTTCAATCTCTACGAGGTGATTAGTCGCTTAATCATCATCTTCGTCCTGGACTTAGCGTTGATTAAAAGCGAAACGTAATTCGGAGGTTCGATCCATCAAATTGAAGTAGAGGCAAACCCTAGCTTGGAAATTTTTGGGATGGCCGGAATAATGAACAGGTTGAGGAATCTCGATGCTTACCCTAAGATCAATGAGGATTTTTACAGCCGCACGCTTTCCGGAGGTGTAATCACCCTTGTTTCTTCCATCGTCATGCTAATTCTCTTCTTCTCCGAGCTTCGTACGTATTCTTCTCCTCACATTATACGCACTGCATCGTATTCTGATCTATGTTCTAAATATTGTATCTTTCGTAACTTTTGATTCGGTCTGTTTCTATATCCTATGCAAAGTTGGTGAGATGTCATTTAGGGTTTTAAGGTTCTGTTTTCTTGGGATCGGACATTTAACTTCAGCTAATGCTTCGTGGGTTTATTGATGTAGCTCCTGTGGTTTTTTTTGGCCGTTCACAGTAGTGGAATCTGGATATGGTTTCAATATTAGCATTTCGTTTCCCAATTGCCATTGAACAAGAGTCGTTTTCCATTTTCTGGTTTTAGGACTTTATCTCCATCCGGTTACCGCCACTCAGCTTCGGGTCGATACATCAAGAGGAGAAAAACTACAGATCAATGTAAAGTTTGTTCCTTTTCTCCTACTTCGAGTTCCTTAATTAAACATGATCGTGGATACGCTTCCTTGGTTATCTCTTAATATTTTACATGTAACGGTGTACTGTTAAAATTCTCTACCTGCTTTGTTGCTTATCTGTTAACGTTTAACATGTAATGGGAATGCGCGTCCTTGGCTTATCTCTTCACATTTAACATGTAATGGTTTTCTGTTGAAATTCCACACCTGCGTCTCTGGATCTGAAATTTCTTGGGTTGATAGATAGCACTTATTTTATTTGCATGATGCGTCTCTTGAATAAAGTTTAGAGCTGAATACTTCTAACTTCTAAGCACTCAATATCTTCGTTTGTGAACTGTTTGTTCTCTCACGTTTATTAGAATACTCTTTTATCCTGTGTCATTGTTTGATTTTCAATTGGTAAAACCGGCTTTGCAAATATGTGGTTGCAGTTTGATGTTACTTTTCCTGCCCTTGCATGTTCGATCATCAGCCTTGATGCCATGGATATCAGCGGGGAACAACATCTTGATGTGGTATGTGTTGATAATCCAGTCTTGCTAATGCCTTATTCATGCCGAGATACTTGTTTAGTAAAATGTGTCTGATTCTTCTTTGGTTTCGTTTGTAAACTGCAGAAACATGATATTATAAAAAGAAGATTAGACTCCCATGGCAATGTTATAGAGGCAAGACAAGATGGAATCGGTCATCCTAAGGTTAGTGATATGGCATAACAAAATATTCCTCTGGTCTTTTACTTTTAAGTGCTTGTTCCTAACTTCCTATCGCGTAGTGAAAACTATAATCTTTTTCTCAGGTCCTATCTATGTATAAGTCATTTCAGTTTCTCATATTTCTGAAGGATTTCAAATTTTGTTGGAATGTTGTTATGGTTTACACAGATTGAGAAACCTTTGCAAAAACACGGTGGAAGGCTGGAGCATAATGAAACATATTGTGGTTCATGCTTTGGAGCTGAGGCAGTAAGTTCTTTTTTACCAAAATCCTTGTGATGGTATTCTCCTACATGTAATTTTTAACTTACAATTGCAGGGTTTTTGCAAAACCGTCTACCTTTTTCTCTTAACATGCCTCATATTACTTTTCTTGTATTATGAATGCCTTGAGCCCGTTTTGCTTGCGATCTCTTTGGCCTTTGACCGTGGTTATGTACAACGTTCAGTCCGATGAGGATTGCTGTAATTCTTGTGAGGAAGTTCGTGAAGCTTATCGTAAGAAAGGTTGGGCCCTCTCAGACCCTGAAGTGATTGACCAGGTGTGTGAGCCTTCTTGACTCTATAAGAGATAAAAATTTTGTTGATCCTTTTACTGAGTTTGAAGAATAGAGTTGCTTATTTTTGTTGTAACTTCATCTAAGAATTTATTTTGAAATGTCCTCCACTTGCTGATGAGAGAAATATAATTGATAGCCAGATTTGCTTTATCTTGGTTTTTGGAATTTATCGTGTTATGTGTAATAGAATTAGAATAGCACACAGCCATAGTTGCGTGAGATCTTCCTACTGTAATTTCAGTGTAAAAGAGAAGGCTTTCTGCAAAGGGTAAAGGATGAAGAAGGCGAAGGATGCAATATTTATGGGTCATTGGAAGTAAATAAAGTGGCTGGGAATTTTCATTTCGCTCCAGGGAAAAGCTTTCATCAATCAGGTGTTCATGTGCATGATTTTTTAGTCTTCCAAAGAGATAGTTATAATGTAAGTAGAAGGTTTGTTCTTGTTCTGTCTTTTCTTTGTTTATGATGTGTTTTTTTTGGTCCAAATCCACGTCTCAAAAAGATTCAATCTTTGCACAGATAAGTCACAGGGTAAACAGGCTGGCCTTTGGGGACTACTTCCCTGGTGTAGTGAATCCCCTTGACGGGTATTTCTTTTCCTCCCGACACCCTTTAACCAGTGAAACTTTTTTTGCGTTTGTTTGTTAACCTTTTTTCCGGTCAAACTTATGTTCTGGACTTTTTCTCCCGATTTCTCAGTGCGAAATGGAGTCAAGAGACACTGAATGGAGTGTATCAGTATTTCATCAAGGTTTTGCCTCTCTGTTGTGGTTTGGAGAACATTTATTTGACTTGAGATGCCATGTTGCAGAAACTCAGAGAGCATTCATTGCCTTGGAATTAATAGCAGTTATATCTGTGTTGATGTTGGTGGATATCAATGCAGGTCGTACCGACTGTATACACAGACGCAAGAGGGCATACCATTCAGTCGAACCAGGTAAAGAATGTTTATTTGTCACCAATGTTTAAAAAAAAGCATCTGATTGAAGCACCGTTGTTGTTTTGTAGTTTTCAGTGACTGAACATTTCCAGGGCACGGAAGCAGGACGGATGATGCAGCCACTCCCGGGTGTTTTCTTCTTCTACGATCTTTCTCCGATCAAGGTTTTGTCACCTGTGGCATTTGGAAAAATGGAAATGCATACGTACACACTTCAAAGTGTGTATATATATGTATACAGATACAAATGTAATGGTGGAGTCTTTGATGGTCGCAGGTGATGTTCACAGAGCAGCATGTAGAGTTCTTGCACTTCCTTACAAACGTCTGTGCTATTGTTGGAGGTGACAGCCGCCACTCTCTCTTCTCAGTCAGTTTGATATATGATCTGATTGAACCTGTCTTTTTTCTTTTTCTTCAACCGAAACAAACGTGCAGGGATCTTCACGGTATCGGGGATAATAGATTCGTTCGTGTACCATGGCCAGCGGGCAATCAAGAAAAAGATGGAAATCGGTAAATTCAGCTGATTTATATGAGCCTCCACAGGGAATCAAAAAGCTGATCCATACGCCAGGGGAAGAACACAAGTAGTTTTAGACATTGTCTTTTAAAGTAACAATTTTTACAGTCTCGGAAATTTGAAGTTTTGACAGTGTTTTCTTCCTTCCCCGGGTGGCGAGAAGGGCCATTTGTAGATCCGATTTGTTTGTCGGAAAGAGTAAGCACATCTTGAGATCTTTCGTAAGTTTAGTCTTGTTTTTTTTATTTCAAAGTAAATGTTAGTGAGTATTTATCATTAAGAAGTTAACAAGGCAAAGAGAGAAACAAACTTTGCGTTACATTTTCAGCCAAATGGGGCCTGCTGGGATGTTGCTGAAACATCATATGTATGTCCGTCCTTGTGCTGTCTTGGGTACATATTCAAGATTTGTAAACATGCTCTTCAGACAGGAATGCTATTTCTTAGAGTGAAAAACACCAAGCTTATCTCTTCTTCAAACTCAACTGGTTTTTTTTGGTGGAGCATCATCCTCTTCATATCTCTTGGGCAAAAAGGTACTCCAGCTGTGTCGGTCAACACGAGTTGGCAATCAATACTAGCACAACTATTTTCCACAATCTAAAATTCATCATATTCAAAGTGGATCCAACCTTTGATCTTGAAATATTTCTTTGACTTCTTTGAGATAGCCCAAGGCATCATTTGTTGTCAATTTCTGACAAGCAAATGCAACAGCCTAAAGCTGGGGTTTCCTCGTACCTGCATAGCCCTTTTTGTGTAGAATGGAAGAATACAAATTTACCCACTGTTTATTACCTTCAAAGACTCATTTCCACGATAGATCACCAGCTATAAAACGAGACCAACCTCGACCTGCTCTTGCGTTCGGCTATGGCGGCCAGGTTTACACGTTGGCAGAGGGAAGGGAATGGACCTTGCCTTAATTCAGCACTTGAAGTGCAAGAACCACTCTCTTGAGCTTTATTTTCCTCTGTCTCGATTTTCGAAGAATGACCAAACTCTCTTGGCGGTCTACGTTCGTCCAATCATATGATCGAAACGATACTGAAAATCAACTTTTCAATTCGGAAGCACCAAACTGAAAATAGTAATAATTGCATAACGAAAAAAATTAAAGTATTAATATCATAATAGCTTTGCGACCAAATAATATCAGACCATTTAATTAATGGAATTCTCTAAAGAACATCCTTGAAACTGCAGAAGGGGTTGGATTCCAGGCCGACAACGGATCGAATTGTTGGAGAGTACGAGTTGGTGTCTGAATCTGCGGAAGCTGTGTCTGAAAGCCGATGTTGTTAGGGTTGAAGCCACTCGGATGTTGAAACGTATGGTTCTGGTATGCTTGTGGCGCAAGAAACCTCGAGTAATCTCCCATATTCATCATGCTGCCGTTTCGGCTCGTCTGGGTGTTCGGGTAGCACACCAATGGAGTCGGAGCCTGGCTAATGGCCGGACCGAAGTTGCCGTAATTAGGAGGACCAGAGCCGTGGCCGACGCTGTTGAACGATCCGTAAGTTAGGGTTTCTTGGAGATTAACGGATTCCGTCACTTGTTGCTCGAACGGGACCAGCGAGAGATCGGATTCCGGTTTCTTGGTTTCTTGATTTACGGAAAACTGGTCGTTCTTCGTCTCGGACAGATCTGCAGTCATTCGTTTTTGCGAGTGGAGAAACCGACGCCGTTTCTGCAGATTCTGTGACTTGTGATCCAAGGAATCAGAGAGCGCTGCCAATTCCTCGGCAGTGTATCTGTCGAGGTCGTGACCCGTCTTCATCTTCTTCTTCTTATCGTCTTCTTCCTTCTTGATCTTACCCAGAAACTGGTGAAGGGTGAGGTTTTTCTTTCCTTTGTCGGTGCTGCTCAGTTTCTTGTACTTCTCGGCCACTTCCTTCCCCTTCGACATCTCCCTCGGCCATGTCTGAATCTCTCCGTCCGGTCCGTAGCAGATAACGGCGACCTCGACGTCACAGAGAGTGGCGAGCTCTTGGGCTTTCTTCATCACAGTGAGTTGTCTCCTCTCGAACGCGGTTTTTCTATTGGCCTGTGCTTTGGATGAAGAAGAAGACGAAATCGAAGAACACGACGAAGACATTGCGTTTTCTTTCTTCCTTTCTTGTTGTTTCAGAAGACAAAGTAACCTTACCACTCACTGGTGTATATATAGATTGTAAATGCTGAGTAATTAAAAAACAAAAAAGGCAATTAATTAAAGAAAAGGAAAATAGAGGATTCAAAAACCTGTGTTATGGATTTGCTAAGTTTCTCTTCCTTTTTTTCTATTGGTTCTGCTTTACTTGTTATTGGGCCTTTCAAGTAAATGGGCCTTATAATTCTCAGCCCATTTAGGCTTGTACAGGTGTGACGGATTATATATTTAATGTTGGATATAATTGGAAATTCAGTTGGATTGAGTCATAAATAAAAAGTATCATTTTGGACACGCAAGGGTGTGATCGAATTTTGTTTATTATTTTAATGGAAATACAGCATTATGCGTGGAGAGATATTTATATAAGAATTACATGCAGATATACGATTTTATCTTTATTAATCAACAGCTAAGTTTACATAAATACCATTTAGATATTTTTTATTTAATGTTATATTGACGGATTTCTAGTTCCGAGAATAAAGTGAAACGAACATACGAAGGATTGATCACATATAGATATTTATATATTTGGGGGTTTCTTTTATGTTATTTTTAGGTTTATTTTTTATATTTATATGTGATTTTTTTTATCATTTTATATTCCATCAAATTTGATTTAAATTTAATTTCTAGATTTTTTAAAATTTTACTTTACAAGGATATTTTCTTTCACATTTTTCGGATATTTTAATGTTCCTCCGAAAATGGTTTGAATTTCTAATCACTTTTTATAAATTGAACTTGATTTTGATATAGTTATATATTATTCCGATTTTATACCTTTTAAATATTATTTAAAAAGGATTACTTATTGAACACAAATACATTTCAATCCCCATGCGAAATCACTCGGAGAATCGACCTTTCGATTTCAGGAGAATTGCCAGAACAAGTGACCTCCCGAGCCGAGACGTTAATGTCGGAACCACTAAATCCTCCTTTCTCATTAGATCTCATCGCCTCTGCCTCTCTATGCTTCGAGACTTCCCTTCTGTTCCTGTCTCTGTCTCTGCCTCTTCTTGCATCCAATACCAAATGCTGTCTGAACATTGTGATGAACGCTTCCACTCTCTCGTTCAACTCCTCGTTCGATAATCTCCCTGGCTCTATCTACCAAATCGTACTAAAACCAAATAATATACAGTATTTATTTGATATAAATTTTAAAACCGAATAAACCGTTCTCGAACCGAACCGCTAAAATTCTGACCCGAATCCCAAAACGCTCACAGATTCTAGGTCAAGTTATCGAAAGAGAGTTTCTAACTGATTTTTATTCATAATTTCCATCGAACACCAAGAACAAAATTAAAGAAAAACGATTATTGTGCTACAAAAATTAAAATATGCATTAATAAAACTAGGACGAGAACTCGCCCGGTCTAGCATGACAAAAAAACCCCAAGCTAAGACCGGTGCAGAGAAATAGCACACCCACTTAATATTTACTCTGACCCTAATCACATTTTTAAACAACACCCTAATGACACTTACCAACTAATGAGCACTCTGCAATTACCAAAAACTCCATTACAGATGCCCCTAATTCCTAAAATACCCCAAATGAATCACAGAAATTACAAGACTGACACGACATTTAAGATAAAATCGATGCCCAATCGATCTCGTAAGATGGATACTTCTCCAACGCGAAATTCGTATTCCACGGAGCTTGATCCTCGCAATCGACGAACGTCAGATCGGACAGCGGCGAAGACCCGGCGGATGCGTCGCCCTCCGCAGCAGGCGAAGACCCGGCGAAAGCGATCGCCTCCATCTTCACTTCCTCCGGCAGATCTGGACACGCGGTGAGCTCCGGTTGCTTCGTCAGCTCCGGTGTTGCGGAGGAAGCCGATTTCTTCCGGGACTTCTTCTCCGGTTGGCCATGTTTCTGGTTCTCAGCCAAGCTCTGGCAGATGGCATCGAGCTTGGCGTCGACAGAGGAGTGAAGGGGTTGGTACTCGCCCAAACCGTCGCCGCCGACAAAAGATCCGTTATGGCGGAGGTTGGGGAAGTTAAGCCGGGCAAAATCGCCGCGCAGCTTGTACGCCGCCTTATCATAGGCAAGCGCCGCCTCCTCCGCCGTATCAAACGTCCCGAGCCAGAGACGGGTCCGATTCCGGGGCAAACGGATCTCGGCGACCCATTTCCCCCAGTGTCTCTGCCTAACACCTCTGTAAAGCTTCGTGGGTTTGACAGGAGGACCCGATCCGAACCCGAATCCCGAGACGGCGACGCCAGGATTCTTCATCAAGATCGGCTTAGGGCTGAGAAGGTTCGAGAAGGAGTAGTTTTGATGGTGGGGAAGTGCAAATCTGTAGCTATGGTGGTGGATCTGAGACTGAATCTGGTGGATCTGGGAAGGAGACAGGTTATTGAGCCCGATCGTCGACGATCCGGGTTGCTGGAGATCCGAACCGTAAGAAAAGGGTTGGGACGTCGAACAGCTTTCCGGGTACGAGCCGCGCAAGGAAGAGGATGAAGGAAGGTAAGAAAAGGAAGATGCAGGAGGAAGAAAAGCAGGAGCGGAAGGCGAAGAATCAGAAGGGCTTTTGAAAAAAGGAACAAGCGCTTCCATTAATTCACCACCGAAGGGATCTGATTGTTGAAGCGTTCTGCTACTGTGTGAATCCCTAGCAGCTGGCATCACAAACTCTTCTTCCAAATGAATTTACAAATCTATAAAACCCAGAAAACAAAGCGGAAATGGCCCGTGTTCTTATATCAAAACAAAAGAACAGGGTTTCCCAAGAAAATCGAAAAGAAAATGGATCGAAGAGGTCTAAAATATGCAACCTCTGTGCAGATCCGAGATGAGGGATCCAAAATTACCCTCAGAGACGATAAAATCTACAGAAAGAAAGCGAAAAGGTTTAAACGAGAAGAAGATAGAAACTAGATCTCGTTCTGAAAAAATCTGACTTTCAGCAAAATCTGCAGAGAAAATAAAAAATCCAGATCCATAAGCTTGCTTTTCCAAATCATTCTTCCATTAAAACCTTAAATATAAAACAAACCCATAAATCGGATTTTCCTGTTTTTCTCCTGAAAGACAGATGATGACAGTGGGGATCTAAGAAGTAGGGGATTGAATCTAGTGTGAAAATCAGAAATCACTCAATTTTTTTCTTCTCTCTCTCTCTCTTTTCTGTGGACTCTCAACTTTAGTGTGAAGAACAACTCTCCCTCACCGATGCTCTTATCTCATCTGTTAGGCCCTCTTTATATAGTGGCCATAACGCGTAGTTGAAACTTCATCTTTTAATATATTATTATTATTATTAGTATTATTAATGTTTTTTTTTATTTCCTTATTTATATTTTGAAAACACAGCATCCGCATCGTTAAAGATAACGCCTCTCGTGAATTACCTTTCGGCTTCTTATCTCCGAATATTCCTGTTTAAAAGTGTGTTTTTGTTTTTTAATGGACGCATACTCAATATAAAGCCAAATAAGCAACTACATAACCTTGTTTTCTATTCCTGAATATTCATAATTAGCAGTAAAAATAAATTACTAAACCCCGTGTTTTTTATCCGTACAAACAAACTATACTGTGTAAAAATAATTATACATTTTTTTTTTGTAAAATATTCATTTCATAAAAAAGCAATAAATTATTTTTCATGAAACAGTTACCAAAATATAGCCGGTCGAGAAATGACATGTAGCAAACGAATGTTCGACGCGTGTCATTATAACTGCCACGTGTCCTTCTTGGTACTACGTGTCCACGATAAGTTAAATCCCATCTGTTTTTGTTGACCGCGCCTTTGCGTCAGCGTTCACAAACTGTGCTTGTTATTTCTTTCTTTTTTTCTCATTTTCGTTTTTTCCAATTGAATTTTTTTTGTTCAAATTACTTTTTTTCCACAGTCGAGTCAAATATTCGTTTATGTGGTAGTGCGTGGTGAAATTATCATTTACTTCACATTTTAGTATCTAAAATTAGTACTTTATAAAAAAATATCATAATTTAATAAATTGTTATTAATTAAAATTAAATTAAATCGTTTTACATATTTTAATATTTTGTCAAATGTTGTGTAGCTTGTATATTTAATACGTATTTCGAATGCTTAATTATGAGATCAGTATTATGCGACTGTTATATCAAGACTATAAAAAGTTTTTCGAATTGAAACAGTGTGTGTAGTGTTTCTTATTATACATTTATATATATATATATATATATCATAATTTTTCGAATAAAACATCAAATTTTAAAGGTTACGTAATATAGAGTGGATTAGTGGTAATAATTAATGGAAGAGATAAGGTTGCGAGGAAAATGCCATGGGCAGCTCCCAGAACGGTTGTGATATTGTTTTTAATTGGATCACCAACTCATCATGCTTTTAGCTTTTGACTCTTTTGCCCATTTATTTATTCCTTTTATTGTTTAATAATTATTCTTATTCTTCTTATTTTAGATGATTAAATCCTCTTTTTTATTACATTAACTTAAATGTCATAAAAACATACTTTCTTTGCATTCTTATTACATTAAAATTTGTTCACACAATTTTTTAAAATAAAATTTAGAGAATTAGAATTAGTTTAAAATATTAAGAAAAAATAAATAAATAAATAAACACTTTTCTATAGAAACCGTAGAATTCAAACAGAGTTAAACCAAAATTAAAAGGGAGAAAATAAGTCAAAGAAACATAATTTCTCGTTTGAAAAAAAAAGGAAATTATATAATGATAAAGGTATTGTGATGTATACGACTATGATTATGTTAATTACAATGAGTGGTTTAGACTTAATGGCAATTCCAAATTAAAAATATTGAAAAGAAGTCTCTGGAGATATAGAAGTGATGAATGGAGGAGAACTCCAATGGTCGCCATCATATTATATACAGGAAATGCTTAATTAAAGCCCAATTTCTTTATCACCTTATCTTGTTACATATTTAATTTCAATAATCATATGTCCAAACTATATGTTAAAATGGCGTTTTAGGGTTAATCAGCTCAATGTATCAATGGTTGATTGATGCAACGGAGAGATGATGCAAATGATGTTGACCCGAGGAGCATCCAATAATTTCGTGTTTTATTATTACTAATTGTTGTCGCGTTCATCTTATAATATCCGGAATTGAAAATATACAATAGTCGAAGGATTATAAATTTTATCAAAATTAAAAACTCTAGTACAAAATAAGTAAACAAAAAATACGATATATAGCCCGAGAATCACGATACAAAAATTCCAGTTCATATTTCGTAACAAATAAAGAAGAACAGCTGTGAATAATTAAGGGAGACGCACGCGCGTGGCGCGTGACACCGTGGAACAATGGTTCTCCATTTGCGGCTGTGACGGCGACTGCGGCGGCTATGGAAGTCTTCGACGTCAAGTGTATTTATATGATATGTGTGTATTTCTACGATGTACACACACACATTTAGTATAATATAGAACATGTGTGTATATATATATATATATATCATACATATTCTCAAATTCAGTTGAATGTGAAGATAATTGGTCAAATAATAGTAGTTAAAACCACACTTGCACATTTTTTGAAACTTGGTCAAACTTTGAAAATATTTGTTTTGGAATATTGGAAATTACGATTACAACATGTTACAATTGCTTGAACATAAATTTTCCACGTCGGCCTCCGAGTTAACTCAATCTCGAACCCTTAACTCATCATGTAAACATCAACACATACCGAGTTTAAGCATTTTCTAAAAAAAAAAAGAAAATCAGATATGCATAAATTCCCAAAACTCACAACTGCCAACAACCAATGAAAACATAAAACATCAAATATTTACATGTAGACAGAAAAAAAATATTCTTGAAATAGGTTTTCTTAAAATGCGAGACTGAACTAATTTTTTTCTATGTTAGCATAGTTGGTGGTGCCTCAGCGATTAGTCGATATGCAAGAAAAGCTTAGAATCAGAAAAAAAAAATTATATATTTTATTCGCATATCATATTTGAATCTCGATTCGAAAAATAATCTGAAAATTAATAATTATTTAATAAATCGTATGAAGTGGGAGGAAAGTATCCGTAAAGTCCCGCTTGGAAACTCCTCCACGCGGTTTCCGTCAAACGCGGTCGTATCGCTTTCCGTCATGAGGCCGTTATAAAGCTGCCACGTGTCTAAGATCGAGGCCCCAGACCGCTCCTCCATTTATATATCACACTTGTATGCTCTACGCCTCAGTCCCACGTCGGCTGATTTCATCTTCTTTCTCAGAGAAATTCCTAACTCCAAATTGAAATATTCATATACGCATAATTTATTCAAGATGCGCATAGTACCCCCTCCCTTTTTTTTTTCACATATTCGAATTCAATGCAAGAATCATTACAAAAAACATATATATATGTGTGTGTGTGTGTAGAGAGGATTTTATACAAGGTTTTAAATATAAGATGGGTGTGAAATTAGTGTATAAAGGTGTTGGTAAAATATCAAGGAGGGTTGTGGTTATCAGGGCAGTCGAACGTCCTTTTAGAGAGCAATCGCATGTGAACTACAGGTGAAGCGTATCCGTCGGTCCATGGATTTTTCATACACTTTGCCGTGACAGACATATGGACCATCTTCATCATTTTTATTTTCACTGTTGGACCAACTATCGTATTGTCCTGACAAAATATATGCTCACTTATAGACCGACACACAATATTAATAATTTTAAAAAAAAAACTGTTGTTTTGAGTTTTTGTTTAAATCAAATTTGAAAATATAGGTTTTCATATACAATACATAAACATAAAATGTGTATATATATACACACATGACGTTTATGAATTTAAGAAGAATGATTGAGGAATGTTTTCGTGAAGTTGGAGACATATTTTCATTTTCATTTGTTTGATCACTGTCGTTGTCATCTTCTTTTATTTCTTCGGTATTTGTCATTCATTGCTTTTAAAAAACAATTTTTCTATATCCGTATGAATTAACAATATCAACAACTTATGAACATAAATGTTACACGTTGGACCAATTAAGCAAAACCGTATATGGGTTGCGTGTATTTGATCAATTGCGTAATCAAAATAGCCCAAGTTCATATTGGGAATACATTGTTTGCACGACTGATAAATGATCCTGCTATGTAATCGGGATTTTACAAAATATACAAATATCCATGAAAGACTAGATTTCGGTTCGGATTCATAACAAGGTTAACATCTTCTAATCGAATATTTTCGAACTCGGATGAATTTATATGAAGAAATTGCGCAAAATTTTATCCGAAATAAGTTCAATTAACGGTCCAACTTATTGCGCAATAAACCCAATGATAAATTCATAACAAATTTCAGTAATACGAGGTGAAACCTGAAACATAACTCATGCATGTGGACCGACCGTCACGTGATTTTCTAACCTCAATCCACAACACAACAAAAAGAAAACATGCGTGTAAAGGGCAAAGGCACTTCACGAGCAAAGAAGCGACAGCCATGAAACATCATCTTACATAAGAGGAGAAGACAGATCTGTAACAAAGCTCTCTTCTCAATTTACCAGCCAAACTAATGGAAAACTACATTATATAACCCAAAAGCTTTGAAATCAATCTTAAAACATAATCAAATATGATTTACCATAACAGATTTTGATTTAGTTCTCCTCATCAAACTCCTGGTATTGCTTGAGAAGCTCGGCACAGAAGACATCGGGCTCTTCCTTCTCGAAACCCATGTTGTTAGCGTAACGGGTCTGAGAGGCAATGCCATTGTAATGGTTAAGGATCACACGGGATTGCTCACGACCAGGAGAGATCCTCGGACAGTTAGTGTCTGGACTCTTCACGAGCTTAACATCACACATCTCGTCCTTGTGATCGTCGTGGACAAAGAACTTGTAGCATCCATTGTTATCGGTCGTGGCTTCATCGGTGTACATTACCTCCATGGTTTTCCTGTCCTTGCATTCGAGTTTCACAGTGGCTCCTGCAGTGCAAAGGGGGGAGATGTCATAAGAACTCAACTTGTGGGTATTGTTCGTTATCAGCCAAACACGAATCTTCGGACCAATACAATCTTATCTGGTATTGTCTGATACTGCATTGCATATGTATCATCACTCACGTTCTAAAATCAAGATTGCCCTCAAATTACAGGCAAGGCAATGAGATTCGACACGCATCTAGAGTTTCTCCAAACATCAAGCATCCATAACAAATCAGTGGTACAGCTTTAAACAATCTGAAGTGTCGCCAGAAATACATTTATCTCTAAGCATTTCGAATTCAGATAGCGATGATCCCAATCGATCTAGTAGATCTCAGCCACCACACAGAGAAGATCATCACCCACTTTACAAAACAACCCATCGGAACCCATTCCTCAGTCGATCTAAAGCAAAACAACTATGAGAGTTGATACCAAACATCGAAGGCCGACAGATCTAGAATAGACAACAGCGTAAGATTTGAGCAACAAGTAGAAAGAACGAGAACGGAGGCAGTAAAATTTACCAGGAATGAAGTAGGAAGCAGAAGTCTCGAAACCGGCGCGGCAAGGATCACAGTAGGTGCGGCCTTCCACCACCATGGTGTTCCTATTAACCTTCGGCAACCTCGCCGCCATTGCCAACGCCGGCAAAACACAGAGAGCCATTAACATCACCACCGCCAATCTCGCCATTTTCGACTCGCGACTTCCTCAGAGAGAGAGAGAGAGAGAGAGAGAGAGAGAGAGAGAGTACGAAATTGAACTGAGAAGAGCAAACGCCTTAAGTGTGAGTTTTAAGATCAGCGCGTGGTGACACCGGCAAAATCGGTGGTAAATTAGTAAATATCGAACTAATTTGAGGGCATTTCCACCAATGTGTTTTATAATCTAATTACGTGGCGATATTTGATTGGATAGAATTCCAGTGGACCCTGATGCTGCGGCAAATGGAGTGCAGCTTGGCTGTCTATCTGTCGGTGCTCACATGGGAGACGAGAGAAAAGACAAAAGGGTAATAATCATGTGGGGGTGAGGTCTATTGAGTTTGACTTTTGAAAAGCTGACTCTGAATCATGACCGTTCGTTTTCATACAAGGATGAGTCCTCCACCAGATGGTTCGTCCTTCTCGGCTCAATGGGTTTTAGCTCCCCCTTCAGCAAAATGGACTCCTATATGGTTGTTGTAAGGCCCAATAAGGGCCCAAATGATTTTCAATGCGGATGAGTAGTAGGCCGAAAAGACCCAGTTAATTTACCATGATATAAATAATTTAACAAGGGCTATAATCCTACCAAAAATAAAATGAAAAACATTATATTTTATAACGCATACTAGTAGTGTGTATATATATATTTTTTGTCTCGTTCATATATCCACGGAGGATTAGTGGAGATGTCGGAGTTATTATTATTACATATAATGAGGTGAGTCCAACTTTCATATGAGCTGTTCCACATGTCTTTGCTTAGTTTCGAGTTCGATTATAATAATAAAATAATAATAATAATAAAGAAATAATAATAATAAATAAATGAATAAATAATAAAGCAAACGATTCAGAAATTGGACCGACTCGATCTAATCGTAAAGCCAGAATTTAACCAAAATATGACTAAACTCAGTTCAAACCGGACCATACATAGTTCAGACCAAACGATGTGACCGGGTAAGTATCAATCTCAGGACGAGCCGAACTAGTAATCCGGACGGGCCGGAACCTAGTTTGATCGTACCGATGATTTAAAAGATTCAATAAATCATAAAAATAAGTAAAATACATAAGAACAAATTTAAAAGAAATTATGCTTGACCTTGTGTACGGTAAGTAATAATGCATGACCGTTTGTGATTGAGAAATCTTGTCAGGGTAGATGACATGGCATTGACCTTACTCGGATGGGTCTGGGTATTGTTCAGTGTATGATTGTAGATGGGTTTTTTTTTTTAATAATATCACGATGATTGTCTTGATTGTAAATCTTCGCGATATGATATTCGATCCGGATCGATTATCATCTCGTGGAGACGTGATTGTGATTGTGGCGATCTTCGATCGCGCCATCGTTCCCTGATGAACGGTTATGGCATCCTACGACTCATGTATTCGGGTTTGCGTGTGTCACCCGAATGCATGACGAGGAAGTACGGTTCTTTGGCAACCGCGCCAACGTTCCATTGGCCATGGAACGGACTTCGGGTTTGCGTGTGTCACCCGTTGATAGGCAAATAAACCTGAGACCCGGGTAGTTGCGTGTGTCCCCCGGCGAGGTGGTATTTAATATGTTTCGAAAGGAGATGGATTAAGAATAATAATAAAATAATAATAATAATAAAGAAATAATAATAATAAATAAATGAATAAATAATGAAGCAAACGATTCAGAAATTGGACCGACTCGATCTAATCGTAAAGCCAGAATTTAACCAAAATATGACTAAACTCAGTTCAAACCGGACCATACATAGTTCAGACCAAACGATGTGACCGGGTAAGTATCAATCTCAGGACGAGCCGAACTAGTAATCCGGACGGGCCGGAACCTAGTTTGATCGTACCGATGATTTAAAAGATTAAATAAGTCATAAAAATAAGTAAAATACATAAGAACAAATTTAAAAGAAATTATGCTTGACCTTGTGTACGGTAAGTAATAATGCATGACCGTTTGTGATTGAGAAATCTTGTCAGGGTAGATGTCCGAATCTCGCATGGCCTTTGATAGACTGTACTCGAAGAAACAGTACTTGATCACCCACATCCACTAAGAAACTTGTCTTCCCCGATCTGCATAGGATTTTTTTTTCCTATACAACTCATAAATGAGTCTTAATAGTGTGGTTAATCTTCGTTGTCTCTTCCACAATATCAAGTTTAAATACTCGTCGCCCTCCGATCCCCGTCCAACACAATGGCGTCTTAGAAGGACGTCTATACAATGCCTCGTAAGGTGGTATACCAATACTGATATAGTAACTATTATTGTACACAAACTCATACATCATCAAATGTTTATCCCATGGAACTCCCAGTCCAATATGCACGCTCTCAACATGTCTTTGAGTTTCTGGATGGTTCGTTCTGATTGTCCGTCTGTCTGCGGATGATATGCGATACTCATCTTTAACTTTATACCCAATGCTTTCTGTATCGCACCCCACATTCGGGATGTCAGTCGAGGGTCACGATCCGAGATGATATCACTCGGAACTCCGTGTAGTCAGACAATCCCATCAATATAAATTTGTACCAAACGGTCCACAGTATACTCCTGTCGAATCGGAATAAATTGTGTTGACTTGGTTAATCGATCAACGATTACCCAAATAGCGTTCTTCTTAATTTGTTTGCGTCATTGGTAATCAAACTACAAAATCCATAGCAATAGAGTCCTATTTCCACTCTGGGATCTCTAACGACTGTAGCTTCCTACCTGGCATCTGTCGCTCAGCTTTTACTTGTTGACATGTAGGACATCGAACAACGAAATCTGCTACATCTTTCTTAATAATAGACCATGTGTATATACAATTGTCGCAATCCCTGATTCATTTTGTTGGCTCCATGATGAATAGTCAATCTCGATTGATGAGCATCACGCAAGAAATCATGTCTTAAATCACGATAATTTGGTAGATAAAGACGATGATGAAGTTTCAAAGCGCATTCGTCATTTAGCGTGTAACCCTTCTTACTGTATTTGCCCATGTTTTCAATGAATCATACTAGATCTGGATCACTGCGTTGTCCTGAGATAACACATTCGCTTAAACTTGGAGCTTGATCCTCCTAAGAAATCATCATGTGTCCTAACATAGCTATCAATATTGTTATATTCTCTACTGACGATGATAAGACTCGTATAGTCGATCAGATTCTATTTCGACTCAAGGCATCGGCAACTATGGTTGCTTTGTTCGGATGATATACAGTTTTCAATCATAATCGGTTATCAACTTGAGCCATATTGGCTATCGAAAATTCAAATCTTTCTGAAAGATTAAATAGGTCAATATCTTATGGTACATATTCACCTTAACCATTTCACCGTATAAATAGGATCTCCATTTTCGCTAACAGATGTTTACCAATCCATAACAACTTTGCTCTTTGAGGGATCCACCTGAATCCTACGAGTCAAGAATACATATTCCAGAAAGCCAATCTTATGTAGCTAAAACGCTCACTTGTTGAATTGGCATACAACTGGTTATCCCTTGTATGTTTTAATGCCTTCTGCAATTGCTCTTTGTGTTTCCCTTAGTCTAGTGAGTGTAATAGCATGTCATCAATGAATATAATGACATACACATCCATATAGTTCATGAAAATTCAGTTCATCATCTGCATGAAGATCGTTGGAGTATTCGTCAATCCAAATGACATGACAAAGAACTCGAAGTGACCAACATGTCTTCTGTACATCCTCGATTTCACACGAATATGATGGTATCCAGATCGTAAGTCAATCCTGGAATACCATTTTTCTCCCTGTAACTTATCAAACAATCATCAACCATCGGTGACGGATAACGATTTTTTTATGGTTACTTGGTTAAGTCCTCTATAGTCCATGTAGAGTCGCATTGTTCATCCTTCTCTTTTACAAGCATTACTGGTGCATTCTAAAGAGATACACTCGGTCGAATGAATCTCTGCTCCATCAAATCATTCAACTATTGCTTCAACTCTACCATCTCGGTAGGAGCCACATGATATGGGATATTGGCTCCGTACCCGGTATTACATCAATAGAAAAATCGACTTCTCTGTGCAGTAGTAGTCCAGACAAGTCTTCTGGAATATATCCTCGAATTCCTGAACCACTAAAGTGTCCACAAGTTTTACCTCAACTTCCTTGGCTGTAGTAATCACGATAAGAAAGACATCACACCCTTCCCGAACTATGTTTCTAGCTCAGAGGACTGATATAATCGAGAATGGTGTATGTACCTTATCCCCAATGAACTCAAAATTTCTCGTTGAATCCATAGATTGAATAGCTCGCTAGTGACACTCCATGTGTGCCCGATGTACAGTCACTTAATCCATCTCCTTTCGAAACATATTAAATCTTTTGGGGTGAGTCTGGTCCTAGACTTGATCGTCCTGTTGCTCCCCACACTCGTCCTGTCCCAACGTTAAGAATTGGCAGATGTTCATGCTCAAGGACTCACCCCAAAAGATTTAATATGTTTCGAAAGGAGATGGATTAAGTGACTGTACATCGGGCACACATGGAGTGTCACTAGCGAGCTATTCAATCTATGGATTCAACGAGAAATTTTGAGTTCATTGGGGATAAGGTACATACACCATTCTCGATTATATCAGTCCTCTGAGCTAGAAACATAGTTCGGGAAGGGTGTGATGTCTTTCTTATCGTGATTACTACAGCCAAGGAAGTTGAGGTAAAACTTGTGGACACTTTAGTGGTTCAGGAATTCGAGGATATATTCCAGAAGACTTGTCTGGACTACTACTGCACAGAGAAGTCGATTTTTCTATTGATGTAATACCGGGTACGGAGCCAATATCCCATATCATGTGGCTCCTACCGAGATGGTAGAGTTGAAGCAATAGTTGAATGATTTGATGGAGCAGAGATTCATTCGACCGAGTGTATCTCTTTAGAATGCACCAGTAATGCTTGTAAAAGAGAAGGATGAACAATGCGACTCTACATGGACTATAGAGGACTTAACCAAGTAACCATAAAAAATCGTTATCCGTCACCGATGGTTGATGATTGTTTGATAAGTTACAGGGAGAAAAATGGTATTCCAGGATTGACTTACGATCTGGATACCATCATATTCGTGTGAAATCGAGGATGTACAGAAGACATGTTGGTCACTTCGAGTTCTTTGTCATGTCATTTGGATTGACGAATACTCCAACGATCTTCATGCAGATGATGAACTGAATTTTCATGAACTATATGGATGTGTATGTCATTATATTCATTGATGACATGCTATTACACTCACTAGACTAAGGGAAACACAAAGAGCAATTGCAGAAGGCATTAAAACATACAAGGGATAACCAGTTGTATGCCAATTCAACAAGTGAGCGTTTTAGCTACATAATATTGGCTTTCTGGAATATGTATTCTTGACTTGTAGGATTCAGGTGGATCCCTCAAAGAGCAAAGTTGTTATGGATTGGTAAACATCTGTTAGCGAAAATGGACTTCTTATTTATACGGTGAAATTAGCGAAAATGGAGATCCTATTTATACGGTGAAATGGTTAAGGTGAATATGTACCATAAGATATTGACCTATTTAATCTTTCAGAAAGATTTGAATTTTCGATAGCCAATATGGCTCAAGTTGATAACCGATTATGATTGAAAACTGTATATCATCCGAACAAAGCAACCATAGTTGCCGATGCCTTGAGTCGAAATAGAATCTGATCGACTATACGAGTCTTATCATCGTCAGTAGAGAATATAACAATATTGATAGCTATGTTAGGACACATGATGATTTCTTAGGAGGATCAAGCTCCAAGTTTAAGCGAATGTGTTATCTCAGGACAACGCAGTGATCCAGATCTAGTATGATTCATTGAAAACATGGGCAAATACAGTAAGAAGGGTTACACGCTAAATGACGAATGCGCTTTGAAACTTCATCATCGTCTTTATCTACCAAATTATCGTGATTTAAGACATGATTTCTTGCGTGATGCTCATCAATCGAGATTGACTATTCATCATGGAGCCAACAAAATGAATCAGGGATTGCGACAATTGTATATACACATGGTCTATTATTAAGAAAGATGTAGCAGATTTCGTTGTTCGATGTCCTACATGTCAACAAGTAAAAGCTGAGCGACAGATGCCAGGTAGGAAGCTACAGTCGTTAGAGATCCCAGAGTGGAAATAGGACTCTATTGCTATGGATTTTGTAGTTTGATTACCAATGACGCAAACAAATTAAGAAGAACGCTATTTGGGTAATCGTTGATCGATTAACCAAGTCAACACAATTTATTCCGATTCGACAGGAGTATACTGTGGACCGTTTGGTACAAATTTATATTGATGGGATTGTCTGACTACACGGAGTTCCGAGTGATATCATCTCGGATCGTGACCCTCGACTGACATCCCGAATGTGGGGTGCGATACAGAAAGCATTGGGTATAAAGTTAAAGATGAGTATCGCATATCATCCGCAGACAGACGGACAATCAGAACGAACCATCCAGAAACTCAAAGACATGTTGAGAGCGTGCATATTGGACTGGGAGTTCCATGGGATAAACATTTGATGATGTATGAGTTTGTGTACAATAATAGTTACTATATCAGTATTGGTATACCACCTTACGAGGCATTGTATAGACGTCCTTCTAAGACGCCATTGTGTTGGACGGGGATCGGAGGGCGACGAGTATTTAAACTTGATATTGTGGAAGAGACAACGAAGATTAACCACACTATTAAGACTCATTTATGAGTTGTATAGGAAAAAAAAATCCTATGCAGATCGGGGAAGACAAGTTTCTTAGTGGATGTGGGTGATCAAGTACTGTTTCTTCGAGTACAGTCTATCAAAGGCCATGCGAGATTCGGAAAGGAGGAAGAGCTCAAGCCTCGATATATTGAACCATATACAGTGATCGCGAAAAGAATTATAGCGTATAGCTTGAAATCATCGTCCGAACTTGCCGCAAGTGATTGAACTGATCAGCAATGTCCGATTTTAAGACAAACCACTACAGATCGTTGACCACAAGATCAAGCAATTGTGAAACAAAGAGATTCCTTTATTCAAGGTCATATACCGAAGTCAAGGAGTCTCGAATATGACATGGGAGTCAAAGCGGGATATACGTGACCACTATCTGAGTATCCGTATCTGTTCGGTATACCAATATTATCCTGACTTCATCATGAATTCGAGGACGAATTCAATTTAAGGGGGATAGATTGTAATACCCTAATTTTTTCAATTAATTAAAGCTTAAAATATATTAATATAATAAATAATATTATTTTTATTAATATATATAAATAAGTAGGTGGGCATTAAGCCGCCCACGTTATAAATACATATATATTATATAATAAAATAAATATACAATGGCTCTGCCACTTAAATATATTAATAATATTTATAAAAAAAAATGAATAAAAAAAAAAGATACTCTCTCCTATAAAAGGAGGTGTCGTGGTGAGGGAGAGAGCAAGAGTGAGAGTGCGAGCAAGAGAAAAAAAAAATATATAGGGAGAGAGAGTAAAAACAAAAAGTAAAAAAATAATAATATAGTAAATAATTAATAGTAAAAAAAAATATATATATATAGTAAAGTAAAAAGAAAATTTATTATTGAGAGGATTCTAATCAATCCGGAGAAAAACTACCGTCACAGCAAAATAATCGGCATAATTCAGGTGAGTGAATTTGGATGTGATTCGAGAATTTTATTTTTATTGTCTTCGGAGTTTGATTGTGTGTGTGTAAAATTGTTGATTGATTCGTGTTGCTTGAATATTTATGATTGTTTTTTTATATCTATGAATTATTGTGTTTAAATAATATTCAAAGTCTAGACCGGGTCGGACGGGTTCCACACCGACCAGACTAAGGTTCTAGACAAAGAAACACGAAAAATTCATATATATATAAAATAATAATAATAATAATAATAA